CCTTGGCGGAAGTTGTCAACGCCGCAAGCTATTATATTTGTTTGTGATAGGAGCTTTTGAGGTTAAGCTTCCAGGAAGATGTCTGTATTCAGATCATTGCTTTGATTAAACTTCTAACAAAATGCTTCTCAGACACACACAGATCGGCGATCGGGTCGCCCACTGGATCGCCGGTAGACGACTTCGTTGCCGGTTGGGGTAGTACTGGGGTCTGTTTCCGTTGATCGCATCAACGATGCAGGAGTACTTTTCAGGGTTCTTAGGGACGTGCAATGCTAAGCCGTTTTACATGGCGCACATAACCTGGTCACAGTTATAACCTAAAGCTCCCCTTTTGAGGAAGCTGGTTGAATGTGAAGATTTTTTTAAAGACAAAGGAAGCACCTTCTCAAGCACAGTTCTAGTTAGCGAAGGTTTCTCCTGCCCCCTCCTCCAACCCCCTTTGCCATCCCCAAAGCCGTAGATCACAAACATACGCTATGACAATAAACGTCCAGGGTCGTGGTTCGCCACCTCACATGATCACCAGCACTATAGATCAATTCAGAGGTCTCCCAGGTCAAATATATGGCAGCCACCGTGATACTGCTACTAGACCCTCCAACTACCAGTCGTAGGTCTTGTTTAAATGTGTATTTTGTCTGGTGATTTTTTAAACATGATTTTACCTCTCAGGTTGACCCAGTCCAGAGTGGGTACCATTTAAAGTCATGGGAAATAAAGGTGGCTGGTGTGATGTTTATCACATCGATGGCAATCTGGTCTATAACATACGAGTCTAGCTTCATATACCCCATGTGCCACTGACCTTAAAAGGGTCCTATACTTATTTACTTTAACTCAACATGACCAATCCATTCTGTATTTATCTCTTTGTTTTCTCACCGCTTTTCCTGCACAAAGTGTCCCTTTTGTCACAAGCTTTTCCCTTTTATTCCTTCCCATAACATGCCCAAAATATCGCGGTCGCCTACTTTAAATTTTTGTAATGAGTTTATCCAAACATGATCACTATCTAAAACCCATGTAGGCACAATCACTACTTGCGAGATGAGATGCCCGAGTAAAGCTGTCCACCTAACCATCCGAGATATCAATGAATAATGATACTATCAGACAAATTGTGGGAACGACACCTTGTACTAGATTAATCGAGAAACAGCAGATGCAAGTGGTTTTGCCACTTCGTTAGAAGCAGCGAGACCAAATACTATCACAAACACTACATCTCAGAAGATCAGCTACAAAATCAAGAGGGCGGTTGCGAAAACATGGATCGACATTATTAAAGACACTCTAAGCCTTCACGTATTGACAATAGCCAGTATCAGCCACTGTACACTGTATCGCCAATTATTCCTCCCCACGCCACTTAAAGGCAGAAGTGGTTTATGGTGATGATGATGATGAATCAGTTTACTGTTTTCGTCTTTCTGGAAGAACTAATTTGTCTGGTTTTCTTTGTGTTCAAAATATTCCACAGCTGGGGAACCTTTGAGACCGTAGAAACTGTGTATATAAAATAGACACACTCGCAGAAAGACGTAGAAAGATAAAAGGACATACTAGACAACATGAATATCGAAGGCCTGGGGACCGAACCTGTCACCCGCAAATTAACTTAGCGCATCACAGCAGGAACAATTGTACTAAGACGCATCACCAGCTTGACCTTCTTATTCTTCTTCTTTTTTCTTCTTCTTCTTCTTCTTCTTCTTCTTGCTTCTTCTTCTTCTTCTTCTTCTTCTTCTTCTTCTTCTTCTTCTTCTTCTTCTTCTTCTTCTTCTTCTTCTTCTTCTTCTTCTTCTTCTTCTTCTTCTTCTTCTTCTTCTTCTTTTTTCTTCTTCTTCTTCTTGTTCTTCTTATTTTTCTTTCTTTCTTTCTTTCTTTCTTTCTTTCTTTCTTTCTTTCTTTCTTCTTCTTCTTCTTCTTCTTCTTCTTCTTCGTTAGCCATATCCTTCGTACACCGGTTTAGTTTCGCTGCCAAAGGATGTTGTCCCCGGATCGACCAAGCTCAGATGCATAAAATAACAGCTAGCACCATATATCTAAAACACATTGTGGCGTGTACTTTGAAACAAGTCAAGTGAGGAAAGTAGGTAGGTAGTTGTACCCCACCATTTTACAAATGATAAACACCCTGTGACACAAAGTGCCACCATACGGATGAGGATCACCCGTGGAGAGGTCCAAGAAACCCCTTTCAGCCTTTAGGCCCTAGCTATGGCTAGGCTTTTCTATGGCCCGGCTAAACTCAGGGCTCCCGACAGAGGCCAGGGTGGGGCTATAAACAAAAAATTGCATTTCACGAGGAGAAGACTATATTATAAAGTGAAGTGAGGAAGTAACGTAATGTAATTGAGAAGGTCAGCTTATCCAGATTTGTTTCATAATGTCCTATCGAAATAAACGAGGCAAGTGTGGTATTGACTGCATCACTCACAGAGAGCTGATTTGTTTCTTCTTCTTCGGCATTTAGAGCTCTTGGGATTACATTGCTGCAGACAGCACCCGCCTATGTTTATTTCTGTGATTAGCCATCTTTTCAGTTGTTAACCCCAAGTGTTTACATGCCTGCCTGTATATTGTACCTCCAACGTCTTCTTGGTCTGTCTCGCTGTCTATGACCACTCAACTACCTTACGTACACAACCAACTGCCATTTAGTCGATAACATATACGAGTCTAGCATCGTTTGCCCAATGCACAGTTGTAAAAATGGTCTTTTGCTTGTTACCGGACAGGTTTCAGGTTTGAACAACTGATCAACATCATGGCACACGGGTAGTTACTCGTAAGTGCTCCGTTCTTCTTCTAACTTAAGTCACAGTCCGAAGAAGCTCAGCACAGTGCACTGGCTCGGTAGCACCGGCAAGGATCCTGAAATACTTTGGGTAGATTTTTTTAAACTCCAAATTTTGGATCCGTTAGGCTACTTTTTTTCGATTTCCAACTGCCAAGAGTTTTTTCACATCCGCAACAATGCACACGGGCGTCCGATCTCACTACCCAAAGATCAGGGGGAGTTACTCAAGTCCAAGTCCATGTGAAAAAAAATCCCAGCTCTTACCGGGGGTTGAACCCGAAAACTCTAGCATTCGAGGCGAACACCATGCCCTGAGATCACACAGCCCCAAGAAGGACATAGATAGCAAATGGATACCGATATTTTTTTAACATCGATCGCTAATTGACTAAAGGGAAACAATTGTGAAAACTTGATGAGTTAACAGATTTCGTCCCTTATAACTTCGTTTCCCATTTATTAAGATGACACCGTATGCCCACTTTTAACGTAACAGCAGTATTGAAAGTGTGCTATTTAATTTATTAATTAATGAGATGCCGTCTCCACAGTGACGACTGGCTGCAATGGATCTTTAACATTATATGTCTCTTGTCTTGTTAGTAGACTCAGATTCCCTCCGTCCATCTTTCGATGTTATCCTCACACTTGTACTGTTATTTACCCACTGCAATCTTGCCTTCGAGTGGTCTTTCCAGTACTGTTTTTAAAAGTGTTTCATCTTTTAATGTGGTCTAAATACCATAATGTGTTTAATTTTTAATTTCTTGCTGCAGCTCTTTTTTCACGCCAAACTCTTCAGAACCTTTTTCTTTTTTTATAATGCAAGAAATACTATCTATTCATCTGGTAATCTTAGTTTCAGCTTCATAGCGAACGGGTCACCCCATAGTTACTCTGCTCCTGTGCCAACGAAAAACACACAAAAGGTAAAAGTCACAAGTGGGATTTGAGCCCACGCCCACATTAGTGGACCAGAACACTCATATCCGTGATGACGGAGAAGGTTATGAACCTTGAGTCTGGCGCCTTAGACCGCTCGGCCATCCTGATATACGATTTTGTTCTATTTATCCAATCTCCAGAGACTTCATTTCCAACTTCTTTAAAACTTCTTATTTGACTGTTTTTATGTCCGTGAAATGTAACTGATTCAGAAAACATGCTGAGGAGGATCAGAACATGTATGCTTCGTGCAGAGTGGCATGCTTCGCTGCAGAGGACACCTTGGGAGAGCGTGTACAGTTCGGAGGAGCAGCTGGGTCACCACAGTGTGGTGAGATTGATGCAGTGGGGAGTGACGAGAGATTCTGGCAGATTCTCGAGGCTCAGAGGAAAGGCAAGATGGATGTTTAATCAGAATGCTACTGGCACCATTAGTATCGGAACTCTTCGCTGGCTGCTGAAGATGGGGACGGAGCGCTTATGGGAATGCCCCGAGTGCTACCTACATTTTTGTATATCAACATCCCAAGACGCTTTTTTTTTTCAAGTTTTCTTGTTGCATGTTCATTGTCCAAGTTACTGTACCATACAATAGACAACTTAACATTTGACAATTCCCATTTTCTTGAGAAAATTGTCAAAATTTTGGGAATTTTGTAGAAGATGTTAGCTGTTTAATTTACAAAGTCGTTAAACACTAATTAAATACAAAATTAAAGCCTTTTCTGTATTTATATTTTGTTCCTACTTTTAAAGCCGGCTCTGCGGCTAAGTCGATGCGAACGCTTCGTAATGCCGGGGTGCCGGGTTCTATCCCAGATGCGGGCTATGCACCTTGCGTTGGTTTCGACAGTGGTATCAGGGAGCCGACTGTCCAGTAGCAATGGAAAACTACTGGACGTAAATTTGCCTAGAGAAACCACACAGCAGAAAGGGCCCTGGGGTTGGTTCTGCAACGTCCTGTAAAGGATACGCAACTAACCTTTTTTTAAGACTCCTTTTTTTCATAGAAAAAAAGATAACTGGTGAAGATGGGGAATGATCGCTTATGGAAATGTCCGAGTACTGTGATATCGGTTCTTGAATCAACTGAACTCAACTAAGTTGATTAAAAAAATCTTTAGCAACGGTTATAATGATTGTTTGTGTTTTAAGTTAGGCTCACAGAACGAGCAAAATCTGGGACAAAGTAGCGGATGTTGATTTATGGCGAAGAGGAGAGAGACTGCGATGTTTACCTTCCTAGAGAATGCAAGGTAAACTGTTGTCTGATTGCTACCTTTGTGTGATTGCTATCTATTTCTGCTGCTCACAGTTCTTGGTTTTAGTAGTCATGCTTGTCCACAACCATTCTGTCGTGCTCGTGTATTCTTAGTCATTTCTGTAGAGAGACACAGACTCGGACATCGATGGCTAGACCTGGCAGAGTAAGAGTCAGTAGAGTAGTGTTTGTATCAATAGTCGTCATTGACATTGTCATTACTAAAAAAAAAAAAAATGTAAATGTCCCTTTTTAACGCCTTTAGGCATATAGGGCTAGACCTATATTTTTATAGACCAATCGGCACAAGATGGTTGATGTGGTCAGCATCACGCTGGCCGCCTCTACTTCCCGGGACTGCACCTGGTATGGATCCACTCACGGCTGGGTCGACCTGGGAGTGTAGTCATTACAGTAAGTAATGTATAATTGTATTTAATATTATAGCTTCACGGCTATCCTTTGAATAACGGGCGGTAAAGATGGCGGCCGCAAAATATCCTTTCGAGCCTTCACGTGTCAATTGCGCACTTCCGGCGACTTAATTTGCTGTTTTCAGGTGACTACGGCCACCGCCGGGAGTCCCCCTACGCTGCTCATGTGGCGTGGATTGGGGCTAAACTAGATGGCTAGGACCCACAAGCAGCGGCTTCCGCATCTCCTGCAGCTTTGCTCGTAAGTCTACGCCGCGTGGAGGACTCGTGGCGGTAGTCGTCGAAAAACCGCAGATTGAGTCACGTGACTGAGGCTCGAAAGGATATTTTGTGGCCGCCATCTTTACCGCCCGTTATTCGGAGGATAGCCGGCTTCACAAACGGCTGTGGATCCTGAATAGTTAAAAAAAGTTGAACAATTTCTTGAGGCTTCGGAGATGTACTTTTACAGAAGAATCCTCAGAATTTCTAGTAGACAACCAAAAAGAGCAACCCAGATGTTTTGGAAAGGGCAAGTGCTCAAAGGCAACTTATCACAAACATCAGAAAGAGACAGTCATCATTATGTGGTCATGTTATGCACATTTATGGGAATAGGGAAACTTACACATGTTGTGTCCACTAGAAAGATTTATGGAAAGAGAGACAGGGGGAAGACAGCGCAAGAAGATTTTTGGCAGTCTTTTGTCATGGCATGAAAGGGTGTCAACACATGGCCAATACACGCAGTTTGCAGATCGCACATCGTGGAGAGGTATGATCAACTCTGTGCTAACATTTACTCATTTGTCTATCTGTCTATCTGTTGATGATGTTTTAACCCCCCCCCCCCCCCCCACACACACACACCATATCTCAGGCTCATGACTCCAGCCCCATCCTGCACTGCCTTGAAAGTAAAAAAACACAGGTAGTAAACATGTAGGCATAGTTGTCAGCATAATTTATGGCTTGTTTATTGTTCATTTTATGTGATGATTTTCCCCTATGGTTTCCAGGGACGCTTTTTGTAAGGGGGGGGTGGGGGTTGATCCACCCAGTAAGCATGTAGAAAAGTCAGCTAATGTTGGGTGCTACCTATAAAGTCAGAGTGCATCTGTCTGAAAGGCAAAGAACCAGCGGTCTGCTTACATATACGCCAGATCTGTAAAACAGATGTGCACACAAAACTCAAGTTCTAGAACAAGACTAAAGTCAAGAAATGGATGAACACCCAAAACATTTCTACCAGAGTTTAAAGCCAGTGAATGCAAAGAATGAAATTACTGTGACAGTTTTTAGAAATGCCTTAATTAATTTATGTTACTTTTATAGGAAGTGACGGTCTGTATAAAAGGATGGCATCACCTCCCTTTTTTAAGGAGACTGCCGTTGATCCTGAGTTAGAGCAGAAAGCAAAGAGAGGTAATGTCATGTTTTTACAGCTTCTGTTTTCGGTGCAAATATAAAGTATGATCATGCTACTTATTTGTAGGATTGAATTGTGAACACATTTTGATTGTTGAATTAAGAATTAACTTTACAGTACTCTGGCCATTCCAGTAAGCACTCTGCCTCTCCATGTTCAGCAGCAAGCGCAGAGTTCCAAATCCTAGGACACTAGAACAGTCTGAATGTCTATCCATTTCATCTTTCCCTTGAGGTTTGTCTGTCTAATCTGAACATATTAATGGCATCCGTCAGTCCTTGAGGACAATGGAGATGTGCCGCTAGCTTTGGGAAACACATCTGCTATGACTGTAAAGTCTGAGGCAGGAGTGACTGTCTCTACCACATAGGATACACAAATAAGTAGCCCTCCCTGTGAGGCTGATTTTCTCTCCGTCCTCTCCTCTCTAGCTGTGTTCGTTTTTTTTCAAAATGCATCTTTCACTTACTATCACCATAGTAGGCAATCTGCAGCTGATTTTTCCAAGCCTCTTTGACTATGTTGGTATCTATCAGGTCATGTTTGCATGTGTCTTTATAATGTAGCTTTCGCCTTCCTGTAGGTCTCTTACCTGTTTCTAGTTCACCGTACAAAAGGTCCTTTGGAATATGATCTTCCTCCATGCGGGAGACTTGTCCTAGCTAGCGCAGATGTGTTTGCTCCAGTAGACAGTACATTGATGGTATATTTGCTCTTGTGAGTAAACATTCATTGGAGACAACGTAACGATATGATATACCAAAGATACGCCTCATACAGCGCATATGGAAGGTATTCAGTCTGTTTTCTTGAAGTGCCTATAGAGTCCAGGATTCGCTACGGAACAGTAGTGTGCTCAAGACACAAGACTCATAAACTTTCATTTTTGTATTATTAGTCAGCTTCTTCTTTGACCAGACTCTCTTAGTGAGATTTGAAAACATTGCAGAGGCCTTTCCTATACGTCTGTTTATCTCTGCATCTAGAGAATGATCACCTGAAATTCGTGAGCCTAGGTACTCACACTGATGTACAGCAAACAGCTAATGGTCATAAAACACTAATGTTTGGGGGGGAGGGGGGGGGTCCACATTTATTCCCATTTCTTGTGTATTGTTAGGACTGATGCTAAGCCCAAATTCTTTGCATGCGTTTGCAAAGCGATTCATGAGGATCTGCAGATCATCCTCTGTATGTGCCACAATGGCTGCATCATCTGCAAAAAGAGAATCCCTGAGGCATCTTATGTGCACCTTCGTCCTGGCACGAAGCCTAGACAGATTAAAAAGGTTGCCATCTGACCTCGAATGAAGATTTATCCCTTCGATGGCTGTGCGGAATGCACACATCAGTATTGCAGTAAAAAGATGCCAAACAGTGTGGGAGCCAGAATACATCCTTGTTTTACTTCGCTACAAATCTGGAAGGGTGAAGACGATGAATCCTCATTCTTCTTCTTCTTCTTTCGTTCGCATGAAATAAATTGTCTATATCTGCAAAGCCGTCTCTTGTATGAATTTCACTGTCTTTTGTAATTCACTAAGCGGCCCGTAAAGTTTGACTTCCACACGTGTCTCTTTTGGCCAAATGTTTTGCCTGAAAGCGTTGAATATGGGACAGTCTTGAAGGATGTGATCTGTTGTTTCAGGTGCCAGTCCACAAGAACACATGGCCGATTGGCCAATCTTAAATTTGTTGTACATGTGGGAGCGAAGTCTATTGTGCCCTGTTCTAAGGCGAAGGATAATAACTTGCTCTGGTCTGTCCATAATATGGTAATCATCTTGTGCCAGTTTCTGTGGCATTCTGATTGATTTGATCATTCTCTTCTTCTGTTGATAAGAGACTGGTATGTCAGGTTGTTCTTCAGTTGCACCTTCCTTAGCTAGTTTATCAGCTTTTTCGTTTCCGGGAACTCCACAGTGGGAAGGTATCCACTGCATTACTAATTTACAGCGGTTGCCTAGTTCGGATAATAGTGTCCGTATGCTTGGTAATTTTCCAGACTGGAGTGACTGAAGTACTGCTTTTGCATCTGTCAGGAATACCACTGGTTGTGAAAATTACCCTGTATTTAGTAGTTTCTCTACCGCTATCTTGATGGCTTGAACTTCTGCATCATAGTTGTGACAGTGCTTTCCCGTTGGTAATTTGGCTGTATCCCTGGTATTATAAGGACACTCAATGTACACTCCCGCACCTCCGTTTCTGACTGCGCTTTCTGCTGACCCATCTGTGTAAACACGGACCCAAAGGTTCTGCGGGTATTCATCATCAAGTAAACTGAGGGTGGCTGTTTTGCGCTGCACACTGTTTTGTTCTTCCTTGTCAAATACCCCTTTCACTTCAGTCTTGATGTGTATTGGAAACTTATACTCCTCTCTCCTGGGGGTCCGTTCTGGGACAGCATTTAAGGATCTATCAGTTGCAGGTAAATCAGTGGTTTGTCTGCCGAGCCGTTTGGCCTGGTGGATAAAACTACTTCTCTTTAGTCGTCCCAAAGCTAAATTTTTTAATCTTTCATTCATAGGGTGACTGGGCATACTAAGAAACTTTTCTGCTTGTAAAAGCATCTTGGTGTCTCTGCGTTCACTTAGTGCTTGGGTCATCCCCATTTTCTCCATCACAGCTATAGGTGTTGATTTCATACTGCCTGTGGTAACTCTGAGTGCTTGATTTTGCACTTTGTCTAATTCTTGCAATGTGGTTTTTGATGCCGAACTCCATGCTGTTGATCCGTATTCAAGATGTGGTCGAACACTTTGTTGTAAACTTTTCTAAGTATTTTCCCGCTAGCACCCCATGTGGTTCCACTTAGTTTTCTCAGAATGGCTACCCTCCTTCTGGCTTTGGTTGCTGCCTTGTTGATGTGTTTTCTCCATGTTAATCTATCATCAAACGTTACGCCGAGGTATGTGGGCTCCTTATCCTCTCTCAGGGGTACTCCATTTATGTGCATGGCGCCTGATTTTTTGTTTAGGAGAAAGGGTAAAGAGAGTGGTGCTGCATTTGCCTATGTTGATGCTGACACACCATTTGTCGGCCCATTTAGCCATTGCATCTATGGCTCTTTGTAGCAGTCTGGTGGCCACTGTCACATTTTCATTTGTACACCAGAGTACCAAGTCATCAGCATACATTGCAGCTTTAATTCCATGGGGTAAGAAAGCAGGTCGTTGATATAGTTTAGGAAGAGTGTGGGGGACAGGGTGGGACGCCATGGCGCAGCAAAAACTTTCTTGCTCTTAAGTCCATCTATCTGTACTCGGGATCTTCTGTTAAGCCAAGTATGCTTTGACCCATTTGTACATACTCCCAATCACCCTGCAGTCTCTCAGTTTCTTCAGTAGACCTTCTTTCCAGACCTTGCCAAAGGCTTTCTTCAGATCTATCCATGCCGTTAGCACTAGCTTCTTTTCCTGGAAGGCATCCTCATTGTGAAAGGTAAGTTGTCTGTCTTCTGTGGAGTAGCACTGTCTAAATCCTGCCTGCTGCGGCGTGAAAATGTTTTCACTTTCCAAGTACCATTGGAGTCTAAGGTTGACAATACGTTCCATTGTTTTACAGAGGCAGCTGGTAAGACTGATCGGTCTATAGCTGGAGGCATCAGAACTGTCCTTTCCTGGTTTAAGCAGAGGTATTGTGATTGCTTCTCTCCATATTTGAGGAACTTTGCCACTGGTCCAACAATGATTAAAGATCTGTAGCATGAATCCTCATATATTATGGATCCCTGCCTATTCTAGTGGAAGGATTTAATTAGGCTTAGTAGTATAGGTGGGCAACCTTTCTTTTTACTGGTTCGATAGCCTTCTTGATGCCATCATCCATTCCCCTTATGTTGCCAGTTATAGCTGAAGTCTGTATCTGCTGACTAAGTTTGATCCAGTAATCATTAGTGCAGCGCCGTGCAGTTTTCTGGACTCTAGACTGAATGGACCTGATCAAGGTGAAGGTCACTACGTTTAGTGAGGATGATGTCAAGTTGGTGCCAGTGCTTGGATCTGGGGTGTCACCAAGAGACCTTATGTTTGAGGTTTTACATCAAAGAAGGTGTTTATGACACAGGTTGTGAAGACAGCAGAGTTCAAGCAGCCTCTGTCCATTTTCATTCATTTTTCCCCACTCTGAAGTGTCCCATACAAGATGGCTATGAGATATCCCCAGCGCCCACTCTTGCATTAACGTCACCTAGAATGAACATATTAACACCCAGTAACTCAAAGAGCTACTGTCGGGTGAGGATTCAACAGATGCAAATCCTAGAAAACCTGTTCAACTATATAACACAGTTAATTAATTTGAAAATTGTAACTTTTCCATAGTGGGGGCTGGCTTACATTGCTATTAGTGGGAATATTACAAGGTGAAGTTCCAGTCTCTTTCATGGTGCGACTCTTGCACCACTGTCTCAAAGCCACAAGAACAGTCTGTAACTCTTGCAATGCCTGGTGTGTGGGTGACTCTATCCCTCTAACTGGTTTGTGTGTGTGGTTGTTTTAATTTTTAAAAATATGCATTTTTTTCCCTTTCTATTTTGTTACTTGTTATAAAGCGGCTGACAAGCTTTCAGAAACGGTGAACATTATTGCTAATGAACCATCCTTGGCCTTCTTCCGCATCCAAGAGCATGTACGAAAGACTCTTCCACAACTTGTAGATCAGAAGGTATATTATTTCCACTTTTCTTATGTCATTTTAGATTGTGACATCTTATTGTTAGTTTGTGTGACTTATTACTTTCATGTATACCATCATCTAGAGCGAGCGCATGCCATTTTTCTGAAGTTTAAGATCAAAGTTTAAAAAAAAAAATTAAACACATTCACTACTGAGGAAGGGAATCGGGTGCATATGGGAAAATGGCGCATGCAAAGATGTCAGTTCTGAGCCACTCGTTCATTCATAAGAAATTAAACAGCCAGGTTTGTAGTTTTATGATTGGTTGGATTTTGTAGTTAAGTGTCTTTATGTGTTGAGGCAACCAATCCTGTGTCAGTCCTAGGACCTCATTCCTGATTGTATTTTAACAATGGGGGGGGGGGGGGGGGTGTCTTCATGGCAAGGTGGTCAAGCCATTTTCCTCATGCTGTAAAGGTCTTGGGTCTGTCATGGACGAGTGGTTCACTTCACTGATGGATGTCACTGGGGCTACGTTATTCATAGTTCATAATTTATTTGATGCTTTTGACTTTTGGCTAGCAGTTCTGTGGAGAGACTGCCATACAGGATACCCTGTTGCAGTGAAATTGATCCTGTCGAATTTAACTGAATCATTTTAGTTCACTGTGTTATTACTCTTTGATTCTCATGGAGCTCCGCTGAGATGATGGCATAGGATAAGCAAAGTGAAATAGTCTATTGATGGCTCCACTGAGATTGTGGCATACTATCAGTAAAGTGAAAGTCTATTGATGGTTCCACTGAGATTGTGGCATACTATAAGTAAAGTGAAATAGTCTATTAATGGCTCCACTGAGATTGTGGCATACTATATGTAAAGTGAAATAGTCTATTAATGGCTCCACTGAGATTGTGGCATACGATAAGTAAAGTGAAATAGTCTATTAATGGCTCCACTAAGATTGTGGCATACTATAAGTAAATTGAAATAGTCTATTAATGGCTCCACTGAGATTGTGGCATACGATAAGTAAAGTGAAATAGTCTATTGATGGCTCCACTGAGATTGTGGCATACGATAAGTAAAGTGAAATAGTCTATTAATGGCTCCACTGAGATTGTGGCATACGATAAGTAAAGTGAAATAGTCTATTGATGGCTCCACTGAGATTGTGGCATACAATAAGTAAAGTGAAATAGTCTATTAATGGCTCCACTGAGATTGTGGCATACTATAAGTAAAGTGAAATAGTCAATTAATGGCTCCACTGAGATTGTGGCATACTATAAGTAAAGTGAAATAGTCAATTAATGGCTCCACTGAGATTGTGGCATACTATAAGTAAAGTGAAATAGTCAATTAATGGCTCCACTGAGATTGTGGCATACAATAAGTAAAGTGAAATAGTCTATTGATGGCTCCACTGAGATTGTGGCATACTATAAGTAAAGTGAAATAGTCAATTAATGGCTCCACTGAGATTGTGGCATACTATATGTAAAGTGAAATAGTCTATTGATGGCTCCACTGAGATTGTGGCATACGATAAGTAAAGTGAGATAGTCTATTGATGGCTCCACTGAGATTGTGGCATACGATAAGTAAAGTGGGATAGTCTATTAATAGCTCCACTGAGATTGTGGCATACGATAAGTAAAGTGAGATAGTCTATTAATGGCTCTACTGAGATTGTGGCATATGATAAGTAAAGTGAGATAGTCTATTAATAGCTCCACTGAGATTGTGGCATATGATAAGTAAAGTGAGATAGTCTATTAATAGCTCTACTGAGATTGTGGCATACAATAAGTAAAGTGAGATAGTCTATTAATAGCTCCACTGAGATTGTGGCATACGATAAGTACAGTGAGATAGTCTATTAATAGCTCCACTGATATTGTGGCATACGATAAGTAAAGTGAGATAGTCTATTAATGGCTCTACTGAGATTGTGGCATATGATAAGTAAAGTGAGATAGTCTATTAATAGCTCCACTGAGATTGTGGCATATGATAAGTAAAGTGAGATAGTCTATTAATAGCTCTACTGATATTGTGGTATATGATAAGTAAAGTGAGAAAGTCTATTAATAGCTCCACTAAGATTGTGGCTTATGATAAGTAAAGTGAGATAGTCTATTAATAGCTCCACTGAGATTGTGGCATATGATAAGTAAAGTGAGATAGTCTGTAAATAGCTCCACTGAGATTGTGGCATACTATAAGTAAAGTGAAAACAAAAATATGGTTCTATTAGATCATGTGCCAGGTACATCACTGGCATGGAAAGGGCCACCCTTTGGCTTACTCATAGCTGATTTTAGGTAGTTTTATCATTATTAGGAGAGCTCCCAGTTTTTCAATAGGGTGTCATTTGCTAGACTCTGGATACATAATTGTTGAGAATTGTGCCTCCTTTAGAATTATTTATTACACATTGAATAGACATTTACTAAAAGCAATAAAACTGAACTCTTCTGTTTTATGTAAACAAAAAGATCACATGATAAATTTGAAGTAACCATGGTAATCATGTAGTTGATTTTGATTTCTTATGGAAAGATATGCGGTCTAACCTGACAGTGTGATTTAATCATGTGGCTGATCTTAATTTCTCGTGGAGAGATGTACAGTCTGACCTTTTGTGTATTTCACACACACACACACCCCTCCCCCTCCCCCCCTTTCAAGGATTCATGTTTGTGCTTCCTTATGTATTAATTTAGAAATGCATGATGAGAGACAGCAAAATGTGTCCTGCAGTAAATTGTGCAATATATTGTTTGTGTTTGCATTATTCATAGTGTGTAATTGTTCTTTTCTGTGCATTAGATTGAAGATGTTTGTGTGCGCACTTTGGTTGTACACTCATGCTTTTCTATGCCAATATGCAGCATGAAGTTGAGGACATCCAGGTCAAAGTTCAGGGAGCATGCTTTGATGCTGACTATGCCAGCAAGTAAGAACAACTGTATGATGTTTTTCCTTCTCCCAGCATGCATTTCTTTTGTTTTCTTACTTGAAACTTTTTTTTTTTTTAGTCTTTATTTCACCTTTCTTTTATTATCTTGTTTACTCCAGTCTGTCCTTCTTTCTAACTCTTTATTTTTCTTTCCCCCTCTTCTTATTCTTTTGGGTTTGCCCTTAAAAGGGTGGTTTACAGCAAAGCTGTGATATGTGCACTTTTTGGCCCAACCTATCTGATTTCAGCAAACTCATAATTAGTTACCTTATGCAACATGTCTGTTAGGGAGCAGTGGGTCTATTCTTCTGCTCCCTTCCCCCAAATGGGGCTGCAGAACCCACACAGTGATTTGGTTATATGACTTTTTTCAGTCCTGGATCATGGAGGAGCAAAATTACTTGCATCTAGTAAACTTCTCATAGTCTGCATTTTCTGGGAAATTTTGGTGCACTGTCTCTAATGGGGGATAGACTCTGGACACTGATGACAGTAGGCTAATATTCTTAGACTTGACCTCATAAATATGTTTGCTGAACTACACTTTGTGCAAGAAGTGGAAAAGTGCTGTCTGGTTGACTTGATTCTAACAGTTAAGCTAGAAGTTACATTTCCAGAATAATTTGTAGCTATTTGATGCTAATGGTTACCTTTCTGATAGCACAGCTTACTTAAACCTGTTTTGTTGCCTTGTATATAAGAGGGATGCTTTATTCTATGTGTGTGTTGTTACATATCCAGTTTTGTCCTTTTTAGGATGAAATTTTTTGTTTTTTGAAGCCCCACCCTGGCTTTTGCCAGGGGCCGCAATATAGGCAGGCCATAAATATGGCCAATTGTCTGAACGTGGTTTCTGGGACCTCTCCACGGTGATCCTCGTCCACATGGTGGCACTTTATGTCATCAGGTGTTTATCACTTGTGTGATGTCCTAGTGGAGTAGCAAGTCACTCGCTCATCTTGTGTGTGTGTGTTGGGTTTTTTTTTTTTTTTTTTAACGCTTCCTTATTTCTGCATCCATGCACTATGAACTGTGGCATCTTGTTCCCATGAATCCACCTCAGTACATATCTCAGTTGCACACATCTTTGAATCATAGTACAAACTGATCTCAATAGCTATAAAATGTCATTGCCCATTAAGGGGCTCAAATCTGTGACTCTGAGATACTCATGCTCTACCAACTGAACAAACTTTCTAGTACTTGTTTTTTTTAAGCTGGGTTGACTCCAGATCCACAAATACAGGGTACTTTATCAGTTGCAATGCATAGGAAAGGTACTGTTGTTTTATAATTACATTTTGATGGATGTCCTCCACCTATGAAGAACATGTATAAGTACAGCTAGAGTTATTAATGTAATGATGTTAGAAAGATGGTGAGAGCTGCATGCGACAGCTAAGGATAGAACACCTTGGCATGAGTTGGTTCAGGGCCTATGCTCCACTGGGGGCTAGAAAGGCAGAAGAGATGTTGTTGGTATGTTTATTTATTATGTGTACGGACTCCGTGTATAACCTCTCTTGCAGGGGGATTGAACCAAACACCTGAATTGGTCAGCCTGTGTTTCTAGTCAGTGTGGCTTTGATTTTTAACTGTGGTAAATGAATTGACGCATCATACATTTTTGATTATGTCTGTTGGCAGTGCAGTGAAAGCCATGCTGTCAAGTGCAATACATTTTCAGAACATTCAGGATCTGCTGAAGAATGCCATGTTTATGAAACAGCAGATCAGCTACGCTGATAACAGAAGGTTAGCAGTTGGCTTTTTGATGTGATTTTTCTTTGAGCGGTTATTTGTTTCTTATAAGGAATGTGTATCTGGTGGGCCAAAAGTTGCCAATCTCGCAACTTTTTGCTGTAAATAGGCACAACGCATTTACATCACTCAGATTAGTGAAAAAATATTGGCACTTAATCTACAAAATATTTGGCTGCTTAACCATTTTGCCTTCTGCTGTAATGTCTCATTTTGATGTTTATTTCTTCTTATTGGGTGAACCCAGTACCACAGTACCGTTTATTGGCTCTGCATGTACGGAAGCCTCCCAGGGGCGTAAGAACTGCTCATGTTCTTCCCCTGCCTTCTCTCAAGGGTTGGGGAAGTGAAACAGAATCCACCTAGTACAGGATAAGTCTTATACAAAGCCAGCATTCGGATGATGGCATGGGATATCTCATACGGAGACATGGATGACGACAGCATACACAGAACATTGTCAATGCCAGAATAAAATCCAGACAACAACTTAGGTCCTTCTCATATATGCCGTAGTGGAAACCACCAACGTATCACATGATGGAACAAACTACCTGCCTTACTTTAACAGAACGAGCATAATAGCAAATACATTATGAGAATGGAGCAGAAGACAGCTGTCAATAGCATAGACCCTATAATCCCGCAACACAACAAGCACCAAACTAACCAATTGGCACTGAGATAAGGACCCTACAAACAACATGCAGAAAACCTGACAGATATGAGAGGCTAGAATTACCAACACTAAGAAACTCTCAGATAAATAAAAGCATGAACAGGAGCCATAATTATACCTGATGCTAAGGAAGGCTAACTCGAGCAAGAAGTGCTTGCAGAAGTCAGATGTGTCGGCCAAAAGGCGCAAATATCCCAGTCATGTTGTAAACTGTAAAAAATGCATTTACATCTTCAGATGAACACAAAAGAAGAAACAGTTTGTTCTTTATTATTACAGTTGTTTCTGTCTTTTTTTTTAATATTTACCTAGAATGTTCCGTAATCTGGCATACAGTTGTTATCACACATAATTAATTAATTAATTGAGCACATGCCAGAACTTGCAAGATACTTATTCATTTCCTGACTTGTGAGAAAAATGGGAAGAGAACAAAAGGAGGAGATCAGAGTTAAATATTTTCCTGTGTGGGTTCCATTATGGAGAAAACAAGAACAGACCCGCTGCCTCCCTAAACAGCATGTCGTAGAAGTCTATTAATTAGGGGCTACGATTAATTAGGGGTTACCTTTTGAGTCGGAATGCGTCTGCTGAGAGGCAAAAAATCAACCTGCATACAATTAAGCCCTATCTGTAAAACATGTACACACAACACTAAAGTTCTGGAACAAGTCTAAAGTCCAGAAGTGGAGGAAAAACCAGAACTTTCTGCTGGGGTGAATAGTCGGAGAACACAAAGAAGAAGAAAAAATATCTTATTTTCATATTTTTTTTCTTTCTGTGGTTGTTTTTATGAGGTGTTCCCTATTTGAAATGGTTATATGTCTGGAATATCTTTGTTTTCTATCATTAACTTAGGAAGTTTGGCAGACCTAGTCCGTCCTCTTCGTTTGCATCAGTTGACAAAGTGAAAGAGAATGACACAGACAAGAGGGACTCCAGTTATGGGGGTGGATCTGAGAATGTACCCAACACTGGGGCTGGCGCTAGTCCAGGTGGTTCCTCACAAAATGAGTAAGTGCTTATCTGGCCATATAGTTTCAGGGGATCTATGCAAGCCTGGTACTTAATAAATTAAAATACAAAGTGGTTCTTCTTCACATTCACTGGCTGTTGGCTCTTGAATTTCTTTTGGTCTTGTTCCCCAATTTGAGTTTGCATATACTGTGGCTTCAAAAGAATCACCCTTAATTATTTGCCTGCTGGGACATGCTTGTTGGAGGAGAAAAAAAAAAGGGGGGGGGGTGGGTTTGGTCTATTCTGTTGTTGCCGTACATTAGGGCAACCGAAAATGAACGGGTACACAACAAAGTGGTTTAGAGGTAGCATAGAGTTGGACACACCCTCAGTGGTTAGCTTGGAGCTGTGGTATCACTGTGGCTAAATGCTTGCTTTGGGCTTAATTTTGCTTCACGTGGACTTTTATCTTTTGCCCAGGTTGATCCAGTCTAAAACAGGTACTGGAAAATACCTGGGAAGCAAAGATTGTCTACCGCAGCACCCATCAAGTACTGATTAGTCTATGTAAATAATAGGTCTAGCACCGTATGCCTCGGAGCTGCAGTGACTTAACCATTAAACACTTAACCTGCCAACCTTGAGGTTAAGGGTTCAAATCTGCACTGAGGCCCAATTTGTTCAAAATTGGCTTTGGCTTTCAGATCAACACCCCCCCCCCCCCTACTAGTTAATTTCATGGGAAGTAAAAGTGGCCAGCATGATGTTGACCACAGAAGCTGTCAGGTGCCCATTGGTCTATAAATATATCATGCTTTACAACATAAAATATGAGAGCAGTAGATGGAATGGAAAAGATGCTCACAAATACAACCGAATGTTTCGACCTCTCTTTAATAATGGGGTACTAAATACCCCACTAAACGGAAAAATAAAACTCAACGGACAAAAAAAACAGAGCTTATAAACAACCAAGGTCAACATCAAACCAAGAAATGCTGAATAGGGGAAACAAAATATGGACAAGGGCTGTATAACAAAATGAAAATAAGTAGAAAGGCATTTGGGGAAAAAAAGTGGGGGGGGGGGGGACAAAAATAAGTTAGATAAATAATTAAAATATAGCTATGTTGAATATTAATCTCTCTCGAGGTTTGAGAACCTGAAAACTGAATTAAACAATTTTCTTTCTTTTTTTCAATTAATTGATTATTTCAGAAGATATTATACTGTATGTATTGTCTTTATACTAACAAGGTGCTCAGTAATTTAACACAGAAGCTGGGTCATTTAATAATATCCAGTTTGCAAATATTTATTGCATTTTGTGAAGTAATATTAGTTCTGAAAAGCAGGAAAAACACTTTAAATTCTTTATTGTCCTTATAGACAGGGGTTATATATAAGTGTTTCTTTTCTGTGCATGTTATTTGACATCCTCCTTCATTATCTATCTTATTGCAGGACATTAAATATTCCTAAGAAGTCTCTGGAAGACTCAGATGATGGCAGGGAGGTGGAGATGTTCATGTCCAATCCTTCAAACCAAACCTGAGCAGCCGAATCAACGAGACCCAACGATAACCATGAAGTTTATTTTACACATCTTACAAGACACCACTCATGCATTTGTGTTTTTACAAAGATCTGAATGTGTTTAATTATGGACTGATTAATTTCTAAAATCCTGGTGTATCATACCCTTGTAGATAATTAATGACATTGTATGTTAAAACACGAGGGGAAGTCAATAAGTAAGTTACAAATGATTGTTTAATTTTTTTTTTTTTAAATTAAGACGATAACAAGCTGAAAACCATTAATCTTTACACATACATTGTCCCTTTATTTTTCAACATAATTTCCACCAGCACTGATGCACTTGACCAAAAATTTTATCAGTTTTCCCAAACGTGCTGCATAGAACTCCGTGCTCTGTTTTCTAAACCACATTTTCAATTGTCTGGGTACCCACCTTGAGCACACTTTCTTAAATTGTAATTGATGTCACGCAACCTAATGAATGTAGACATAGTTTGATGTTGCTATCACCTAATGACACCTTTAGAAACCAACTTCATTGTTTTCTGCCATCTCATAACCATTTATGAATACTTATTGACTTTCTCCTGTAGATCTAGTGTTGACTGTGGGTATAAATAAATTCATTGAGGAGAAAGGGGCCTTAGGGCACACATAATTAAAGACATGTTTTCAGTTTTAAACAGTCTCAGTTCACAAAAGCTAGAAAAACATATATATAACACTTGAAATTGACAACATTAATATAGAATTAGTCAAGAATATGAATATCATTTGTGTGTCAGTGTTTTAACATTGACAAAAGAATGTCATAATCATTTTTATCAGAGATTTATGTTAGAATGTTATAGTTAGTGTTTTCACAGATTTATAAAGAATGTTTTAATTAATTAGTGTTTTCAGAGATTTATGTAAGAATGTTATAATTAGTATTTTTTCACAGATTTATAAAAGAATGTTTAATTAATTCATGTTTTCAGATTTATGTATGGATGTCATAATCATTGTTTTCACAGATTTATATAGGAATGGCATAATCATTGTGTCCTAGTCAAACATCTTTACAAGACCAGTGCGTGTTATTTTTAATTCAGGCTCAGTTATCCTGGATTCTTGTCATAGGTTATACAGATACCTAATCTACAAATGTTTATCTGAACACTTAAACACACAAATTACTTGTGATTGTATAGGACTAGACATAACAACTATATTTTTAAGGGTAACCATATTTTGTTGTCTTCAGTTTGTTTTTTTATATATGCTTACGACTTCTTTTATGTCACTGTTGTCTGCCTGTGAAACTGCCTTTATGATACCACTTTTGCGGTGCAGGCAGGTCTTTGAGCCCAAGGATTTACGGCTGCATGGCTAGTGCTGTCGCCACAACCATGCAGGTGAGGATTTTATTTTTCTGCCTGTGAAACTTAATTTTAAATATAAAATTTCTGATACTATGATTGTTTTAACAGAGTTTATAAATGGTGTACCCACTTTGAGAACCTGATAATAGGGATGCTAAAAACTTGTTTTGTTAGCACTAGTTTGTTAACAGTGTGCCCATTTTAATAATCTGATGATTGCAGTTGTAAAAATTTGATTCCTTAACAATAAAGTTTATAAAGATGCACACAGTCTGAAAATTTATTGATTTTGTTAGCAAGAATTTGCAAATAGCACAGTTTGAGGATCTTGATGACCAGAGTAGTTAGTAAGAAAGTTTGTAAATTGTGTTCAGTCTGAGAAACTAGTAACTGAAGTAATCCTCTTGAGTACCCATTCAGTTTAAAATGTAGTTTATATTGTTTGTAAATTGGTAATAGTTACAATGGTCTCCCCACAAACTGCCTATATACACACTAGCTCACTTCTGATTGGTCGACCTCGAGCCATGTGACATTGGGTCACTTTCGCAGAGGTGTTCCCCAATTCCGCTGACATTGCGTGCTGTATATATCACCATGCAAGAGGTTTTAACATTCCAAAAACATTGTCAACGGGTTCTAACACACAACCCCAATTTTAATTGCTCAGCTTACATACACAGACTGTTGCATATTTCTCCTTCATTTGTCAAAGCTCAGAAATGAGTGAAGTGTATACATAATGCTGCTAAATTCATGGGCCAAGTCAGCCTAAAATGTGTACCTGGTTCATTCCTGGGATGTTACCGTAGCCAGCATAATGTTGACCACATTACCCACAGAGTGCCAATAAAATATAGGTCTAGCATGGAAAGGGTCCTTTTACCTGGCCATCAACTGACCCAGATTCCAATTTCAGAGAGGGAATAAGCTTACAATGCACACAGATGAAAGAATCACTTATTGAAATCTCAAACTGAAAGTATATTAAGACTTCTTACACTGATTTTATAACCATACTTTAATAAGCCAATGTATGTGAACTGAACTTGAACATTACACATTCTTTCAACAATCACGTGTTTAAAGCACTGCTTGTGCTAAAAGAAGCAAATTTAAATGCCAAGTACTGTAGACCTCTTATGCAGCTCCTGTTCAAACAGCTGTATTTATCTACATATTTCAATTGAAGTAGGAGGCACACAAAACTGCCATGGAGAAGGAAATATATGTTAATGAGGAAAGATTGGAAGTGGTGGAAAATTTCGAATATCTTGGGTCACTGGTTACCAACAATGGTGACACAATGAAAGAAATCAAACGGCGACTATCAATTGCTCTTCAAAGACTAAAACAACTGAATAAATTATGGAATTGTACAGATAGAATTACAAAGGTCAGATTTTTAAGAGCATGCATCTTTCCCATTGCAACATACGCCTGTGAGACCTGGACACTTACTAAAATAAGCGGAACAGCGCATAAATGCATTTGAATATAAATGTTACAGACAGGTTCTAAGAATATCTTGGGTAAAGAAAAAAACAAATGCATCCATACTTCAAGAGCTGAATATTGAAGAGGGTTGGCTAGTAAAGACAATAAAACAAAGAAAATTGAAATATTTTGGTCACTTGAAACGTCATGGCGGTCTAGAGAGAACAATAATGGAGGGGTATATGCCTGGGAAGAGAGGGAGAGGAAGGCCAAGGAGAAGATGGGTGCAGGATGTGGCAGATGATCTCCAGATGGGTGTATCAGACGCAGGACATCTTGCTCATGATAGGAAGGTTTTCCGGAGGGTTGTTATGGCAGCGAGGTTCCGCGAGGGACATGCTACTGAATGAATGAATGAGGAGGCACACAAAAACTTACAACCAGTTTTTTTTTTACTGTTTATTTTTCTACTTGATCTCTGATAATTGTACAAATGTGATGACAAAGTGTTATGTATTTGTAAAGTAATAATTTACAAGCACACTTTAATTGTTGACAAAATGTAAATGTTGCAAAAGAAAGTTTCTCCATAAATATGGCTGAGACCACATAACTTACTGAGTTTCTCCTGTTCTACCTTGTGGTGCAGAGGTTTCTTAGGGAGATCGCAGACATCTACCTCTCTACCAGCAGTTTTCTTTCTGGCTTGGTTCCATTCCAGTCCTCTGTCATTCGGAGACTGTTGGATGTTGTCTTCCCAATAGACTCTGGGTCACCCTGAAGGTCTGGTGCCCTGACTCTTCACCTGTCATGGTGGCTGATTTTCTCCCACATGTATGTCAAAACCATCATAACTGTGACTGATCCACTCGAGTTTGTAAGATCTGGGTATGAAGATCTCGACGTATTGTCTACAGACTTTGTCCTTTCTTGTCACTTTGACCACTTTCTCAAATATATGATTTATGAGGTTTGAAGCTGGCTTCTGCGAGCTGTTGCCATTGCCCATGACTCACACCTGTAGGTCAGAACTGCTACATAGGTAGAGTAGCAAATATATTTTTGATCTCTTGCCAAATTCTCTTTTGCTAAGAAACTTTCCGTTTATGGCCTGGAAAATGTCTCCCAGCAGCTGCTTTTCGAGTAGCCAACTCTGTCTTAATTCCTCCATTTTAGTCTATTTCAATTAAGGTATATCTTAACAGGATGACCTGCTCCAATGCATACTTGCCACTAAGTCCACGCTATTCACCACTGCGACCACACAGTTTGCCACTGAAACCACACATCTACCACACAGTTTGCCACCGAGACCACCCAGCTTGCCACTGAGACTATACAGCCTGCCAAGGAAACCACAAAAGTCAGCATGTGTTTCCCACAGAAGATGAGCCAGATATTATCCACTGAACAAGCTTAACACAGCTGAATGTTACCGAAGCTACTAGTACATTGTATATTATGACCTTCAACAACAAATTTTCTATTCAACCGGTTAATGACAGGAGCCAAAGATGAATGTAACTGGAATTTCAGCAACAAAGATACTATCTATTTAGCAAATACTGAGCACTATAATCATGGAAATGATCAGCAGTATGCAGACTTTAGAAGAGCTCTGCTGTGTTATTTACATCTGATGGGTCCAGACTCGTCTCTGTTATGCAAGCTATAGACCCAAGCTATATATATTTGTGAGCTCTCCACTTACAGGTTTGCAAGACTTGGGTGGATGGTCATGAAGAATACATATACTCTCTGGGTAAATACATTCTGGCAATCCATTATTTATGCCCTATTTAACGTCTTGTGTCATTTATGTAACTTTTGTGTAGTCAGAGATCAGAACACAGTACCCAAGAAAGAAAAAAAAACCTTGCAGGGTATCTTTTCATTAATCAAAACTTAACTGCATCAATGAATTTGCAGTTTTACCTTAGCAAGAGCGGGACACAGAATATAAAATAACATGGGGGAAAACAAGCAAATTATATAAATTTTAAAAGCATTGGGAAAGAAGACCAAAATAACTGAAATGATATAAAAGCTCACCCGTGTGGGTTCCAGTGCCCCATTGTGAGGAAAAACAACAATAGACCCACTGCCTGCACAAAACCATGTCGTAAGAGTCAACTAATTGGGAGGATTCCTTCAAAGTCGGAGTACATCTGCCTGAGAGGCAGGGAACCAACAGTTTTCATGCAAATGAGGCAGACCTGTGAAACGGATGTACACACAACACTCAGGTTCTGGAACAGGACTGGAGTCCAGAAGTGGATGAACAACCAGAACTTTCTGCCGGTGAACGTGAAGAAGAAGATATAAAAGCTAATGTGATGCTTACAATTTTGACTACTGTAAACCCATTTTATAAGGAAAATGGGGGTGACTTTGTCACAATGTACTCCAGCTGTCTCCTTCTCATCAAATAATCAAGAATATAGATTGTCTTTTTCTGATGTGCGCAATCAGTTCTCTGTGAGTACTAAGTGATATAAGTAAAATAAAGCATCAAGCTTTGAATACCAATTCCCCCGTGTTGGTTTGTGGGGGAAAACAAGAACAGACCCACTGCCTCTCCAAAAACATGCTGTAAGAATCCTTTAACTGGGGGCTTTCTTCGAAGTTGGAGTGCATCTGTCTGAGAGGCAAGGAACCAAGAGTCTCTATACAAATGAGTCATCTGTAAAAACAGATGTGCCCGCAAAACTCAGGTTAGGAAACAAGAATGGATTCCAGAGGTGGATGAACAACCAGAACTTTCTGCTGGTGTTTATATATGCCCTAATCTCTGAGACTGATCCCTGCTTACATTTAGTACCAGATGTCCTTAGAGTAGACCACATCACCCATGGAGTACTACGTCTAACAAATATGTCTACCTAACATTATAAGCCCAATATTTTATTAGTATGAAAAGGGTCATTCTACTTCAAATATACATATTTTAATATTAAATGAGTGGTATTGTTAGATTTTTATGTTTCCCATATTTCCAAAATATATGTATTAATAAATCTGTTTATTTCGAATGAAGATTCTTGAGTTGGTATTTTTGTTTAAATCAATTAGATAGTTGTGCAAGGTACTGCCATCTGGTGTATGAGATAATCTGATCAGGAAACTTTTAATGATTTTTTTCTTCTTCAAGGGCTGTTGTTTATAGTGCCCGTATGTGGTTCAAATTTATGTTTAATCCTGTCGCCCTCAGAAGCTGCAAAACTGACACTTCGTGTGGAGGTTCAGCTCCCACTGGCCTGGTCATGAATCAAATAAACATGTATTTTTAGACTCACTGAGATATGTTAATTCTCTGTTTACTGATGGCTCCCTCTATTCTGTCTGGAATTTCATGTTCTGGTCAATAAATGGAACTGTGATTTTCTGGTAACCTGTGTAATATGGTTACTTTGTAAGGATGTTTCAAGAATTCCATAATTACAGGTCATTGGCATTTTCTGCTAGGGCAATGGGGTTAAAAACTAAATGGTAAATAATTCTGTACAAATGAAATATCCTTGAAACTGAAAAAGTCTATTTGAAAAACACTGAATCAAACTAAGCAAACATTCACAGTGAAATCAACTAATGCAAATGGAAAAGAAGTATAAATAAGTGCAACCAAGAAACAAAATTTTCAGTCAAACAAATTAGACATTGCAATGTATGGTAGTTGTTTACATAGCTTTCTTCTCTTGCAAGGGTAGCTGTATTAATAAATATAAAATAGAAGCAGACACATATTTGATCTTACATTAGAAACTAGTTTGGGCATGTGTGTGTTTGTTGTGAGACGGCCTCACTAAATGCTTGCATGAGAAACTAGTTTGTGACTCATGTGTCTTGTCATTGTAAGAAACCCTTTCGCCCTGAGAAGTTGCAAGTCCTGCATTTCCAGTAGGCTCCAATTCCCCATATATGTCAATTTTCCGACTTGTCTACAGTGGTGTATTTATGAGACAGCTAGTTAATGCAATATTTACTAAGTCAAGATTTTACAATAGCATTTAAGGGGTTTCCTACTATCAACCACATACATTTTCAAAAGCCAATAGTACATCATAATTATTCATAGGCCTCGGTGTTAAAGGTCACTGCTCGAGACACTCAGTACAAATTCTTTTTAAGGCCCCATAGGAATAAATTCTGTTGAACACCTCCCTTTATTCATGTTTACTGATTGCTTCCTTTATATAACTATGTCGTGAAAAAAATTTTTTTTAATGTAGATAAATTGTTTATACAAAATTTAATCAGTAACCAGTTTAAACTTTGTTCTTTAAGGATTTTTCCTGGAATTCATAGGCAGCCTGACCTAATTTGTTTTCTTCAAATTTTCTGGGATAAAAGGGTTCACTCATCGCTAGCGTTACAAACTAAGTAATTTGTGGCCTATGTGTCTGGTCACAGTAAGAATGGACGTAACTGACTGCTTCCATTAGAAACTAGTCTGTGGCCTATATGTGTAATCACTAAGAATGAACTTACCTCACTGCTTGCATTAGAAACTAGTATGTGTTTAATCACTGTACGAATGTACCTACCTCACGGCTTACGTTAGAAACTAGTTTATGGCTTATGTGTTTGGTTATGGTTAGAATGGATTTAATGGACTGCTTGCATTATAAACTAGTAGTTAGCCTATATGTTTAACTACTGTACGAATGTACTTACCTCACTGCTTGCATTAGAAACTAATTTATGGCTTATGTGTTTGGTTATGGTTAGAATGGATTTAATGAACTGCTTGCATTAGAAACTAGTAGTTAGCCTATATGTTTAATCGACTGTAAGAATGGACTTTAACTGACAGAGACTTCTTGAATCAACTGTTTATGTGCCCAGTAACACACAAAGTTTGATCAGCTGTAGTTAATTGCACAGTGTGTTGTTAAAACTGTTGTTTGGTTAGATCATATGAAAGAAATCTGGCTAGATATTTTAGTATGCATATTGCCTCTCTGACTTTAAAGTAACAGCTGTTTCCTTTGTAAAATCTTCTGGGACTTCAAGGACCATCTTTATGACAAAGTGAAAAACACCACAGACTTCTTCACATCACAACACAGGTTTAGGCAGAAAACTCAGTAGTGCTGTTGAGATCTCAGCATGTGTACCTGTGAAAATATAGAATTAATTCTATAACAAACGGAAAAATCAGTAAGTTGGTAAGCAGCAATTTGTAAAAAAAAAAAAAAAAAAAAAAAGCAAAGATCCCTTTTCCGGGCATTTGGGAAGAGCACCCATATTTTTACAGACCAATCAGCACTAGGTGGGTAATGTGTTCAGCATTAGGCCAGCCGTCTTTTCTTTCCCAGGACATACATCCTGCTACCCATTTTAGGCTGGGTCGACCTGCGATGGCCTATACCATGATGAAAATCCATGCAGCCAGCAGCGGGTTTCTATCACAGTACGTTGCGAGTCGGACTCGCAACGCCTTAGCCACGGACGCCGTGAGCAGCAATATGAGAGATTATATAATCAGGATGAGAGTCAGAGTCTGCGGGAGATCCACTGCAACCAACCTTCACTGTGCATATGGTGCATAAGTGACTGGCTGAAGAAAAAACTCAATACAACAGAAACAATACACCATATAGATCACGATATGTTCATTATAACATACACTTTTATACCACAAAATCACAGTGTGTTTAGTACAACATAAACTCTATCCTATACAAATCATAGTAGTTTAATTACAACATACTCTATCCACATCAGTTGTATACATATGTCATAACTGTAACTGACTCCCAGAGTATGTTGAGAAAGGTGGAAACAGACATGCTGCATGCAGAGTGGCAAGCATCACTTTAGAGGTCCCGCAGATTTGGTGTCCTTCGAATACTTTCTCCTTATCATGCCTGTGTGTTGGGAAATGATCAGGCAGATAGACTAGCCAGCTCTGCACCACTTGGTGGTGAAGTGATGTATGACAAGCTTGATGTGTGTGAGGGCCTCTGGAAGCAAGTGAACAGTGCTGTGGCATAAACAGATCATTACGATTTGAGAGGAATGGCGCTGGGAGGAGTTACTAGGGAATCTGGCTGATGCTGAACACTCAAGGGAAAGGTGAGACGGCTATACAATCAAACAGTTACTGGTGACATCGGAATTGGAATTCTTCGCTTGCTGCTGAAGATGAGGATGGAGCACTTATGGGTGTGTTCAGAGTGCTGTGATGTTTGATTCTTAATTCAACATTATCCTGTAAAAAACACAGTGTTCAGTACAACATAAACCCTTCACCACATTAATCACTGAATGTTTAATACAACATAAAGTCTGTTTCAGGGATGTCAACTAAGACCCTCCCCCCAAGGTCATACTGGTGTCGTCATAAGGGCCACATACAACAACTAATTGAAGTTCTTTTAGTAAAAATTATGGCAGAATATTTTCTTTGTGCTTGAAAAGGGTGGCCCTCTATATCATAAAAATCACACATATGTTCAAAACGACACGATCGTTACCACACATATTTCTGTATTTTCAATAAAACATTAACTATACCAGACAGATTACCAAACTATACACATAATGTTAGGATCCCAGACTTGAAGAATTCTTATACTCTCATCTGACCACAGTAAAATCCCTTTTTATGTCCATATTGTTTTTTTTTAAACCAATCAATCCTTGATGGGTGATGGACTGGCCATCTTTACTTCCCGGTTTTGAACACCAACCGCGGGCTGCAGTGAATCGCAGCTAGATTTGAAAGCGAGCCTCCTATCGATTGCGCTAATGCGGCCCCAAAGCTGTCATAAGCAATACATTTCTGCATTTGCCCTATAAAAAGGTCAGTCGGCACACTGTGGTTTAAAGCTAGGCTGTGATGCTAACACTCACCTGCTAATTGGAGGTAAAATCAAAATAATCAACAACAGGTTCCTGCTTGGTGCTAGAAGCTGCAGCCACATCCCCCCACGCTCTGGAAGTGCTTGGAGCATCCTGGCCAGTAGTCTTCTTCTTCTCTAACACAGTGAATCTGGTGAATGACAGAACAGTTCACATCAACTGCATGAAACCAAGTATTTTCTTACACTGATTTTGGCTTACATAACAGGGGATACAGACGAAAGTGGGGAGCCAAGCATAACTCCAACCATATTTTACTGAGGCTATGAGAGAAGGAAACAACAGTAACACTGTAGTCTACCAAGTTAATAAGCCAAGGAAACAACAGTTACACTATACCATGTCAATAAGGGAAGGAAACAATTAGAACACTTACACAGAGGGCAAGAGGCTAAAATTAACTGAATATCAAGGCAGCTCAAGGGAATTGAACATCAAGGCAACAGGCTCAAAGGAATTGAACATCAAGGCAAGAGGCTCAAAGAAACTAAACATCAAGGCAAGAGGCTCAAAGGAACTAAACATCAAGGCAAGAGGCTCAAAGGAACTAAACATCAAGGCAAGAGGCTCAAAGGAACTAAACATCAAGGCAACAGGCTCAAAGGAACTAAACATCAAGGCAAGAGGCTCAAAGGAACTAAACATCAGGGCAAGAGGCTCAAAGAAACTAAACATCAAGGCAAGAGGCTCAAAGGAACTAAACATCAAGGCAAGAGGCTCAAAGGAACTAAACATCAAGGCAAGAGGCTCAAAGGAACTAAACATCAAGGCAAGAGGCTCAAAGGAATTAAACATCATGGCAAGAGGCTCAAAGAAACTGAAGATCACGGCAACAGGCTGAAAGGAACAATACATCAAGACAACACGCTCAAAGGAACTGAACATCAAGGCAAAGGGTTCAGAGGAACTAAACATTAGGGTGAAGGCCTCACTACTGTCTGTGAGACAAGTATAACAATCTGCATTTCTTAAAGATGCTTTTCCTCATTCTCAAACCTAGTTAAGAATGTCATAGCTTCTTTAGACCTGTGGGCTGCATGAGGCTACAAAAGGTTCCCTCCAATGTTTTCAATTTCAGGGATACAACAGTGAGCTGGCAAATACTACAGAATTATCATTTTTGTCAACCAAAATATCTATAAGACACTGCGAATCAAAGATAACAATGTTCAGAGAAATGCAACTTACGTGACACCCTGAGTCTTGAAAGTTGAAATTGGCGGAGGCAGCTTTGGTAGCTGGTCTTTCAAAGCATGCTGAGAGAGAGTAACATTGGGCAGCCAGCACTTGTCTCTGTGAAGTCAGTGGAAAACAAAGTGCTGAAGGACAACTCAAGTAAGTCACAGAGCAGATTGTCATTAAATTAACCATTCATAATCCTTCACCCTCTACCCAGAGGTAGTAAGCACATCACACTATTTTTTTTTTAATGTTTGGCACACATCCTAAACCTCACCCTTCCAAATGCTGCAATCCTCTAATACAGTTCCCTCATATTGCGGTGACCCTCAGACCATTATTTTTTTTCATAACTTCAATAAATACCTATGGTCTGAGGCGACCCCTGGGAAAGGGTCATTCAACCCACACAAGAAATTTGCGACCAGCAGGTTGAGAATTGCTGCTCTAAACTGACTAGATGAAACAAGTAATCTCATTCTGAGGCTAATCAGATAAATAAGAATCACAAAATAACCACTGAAATGGGAAACAAATAGAGTGAGGATTACCATCTCTATAAGAACCTCCTTCCTATCATGTCTGTGTAGATGTCAATAGTTTTTTCATTTATTTTCTTCACAACAGATTTAAACAGTATTTTTATCTCTTAAAAGATACCTTTTCACGCCTTTAGGCACATTGGGCATATGGGAAGAGCACCCATATTTTTATAGACCAATCAGCACTAGGTGGGTAATGTGGTCAGCATTACGCTGGCCGTCTTTACTTTCCTAGGACATACATCCTGGTACCCATTGAGGCATATATATATGTATGTATGTATGTATGTATGTATGTATATATATATATATATATATACATACATATACACACACACCTGCCTCCACTGCAAAAGTGGTGACTACAGACACAAATGGCAGCTTGTTGTTAAAATAAAATAAAACAATTGTCATCTCTTTTTTTTATTTAAAGGACTACCATATATGTCCTCCTGTGACCCATAATATTCTTTACATTTCCCCCAGAATGCACATTTCCATTTCCATGGTTACAGGACAGTCAGTCCCCATGGAGGCAAAATATGTCTGCTACACAGAGCTGGGATTCAGAATTAGGAAATAACCACCAAGGACTATCGGTCTGCCAGGAACCCTGGACTCACTGCTCCCAAGTTAATCTAATGTGACAGTTTGATGGCAACATGGTTTGATGTCAGTTTGATTACTTAGGAGCAGATTGCACATCTGTTTTACAGTCTAGCTTATTTTTGCTGAGGAAAATGTCATGCCTATTATATCGACCAGGTTCCTGGTAGGGAATCTGTTTCTAGCTGGTAGGGAATCTGTGTCTAGCTGGTAGGGAATCTGTTTCTAGCTGGTAGGGAATCTGTGTCTAGCTGGTAGGGAATCTGTGTCTAGCTGGTAGGGAATCTGTGTCTAGAAGCGAGGACGTTTAGACAGATCCTGACCAGCATGATCCCTGGTCCTGATGCACCAGCACACGTCTCCTGTGTCTTCTGCTTCAGGTTCACCGGCTGTAAAATCTGGCAAAAGTTCTGAGTGTCTGACACATTTGGATTTTAGTCTTGTTCCTGAACATGAATGTTGCGTGCACATCCATTTTACAGATCTGGGTTATTTCTATGCGGACTCTTAGTTCCTTGCCCCAGAACCCATATGAGGACCCACGTTACGTGATTCACCATCTCTCTATCCTAATCATGATTCTAGACCTTGTTCGATAGTGTTCCCTTCCCATGTTTCAGGTATTTTACAATTAAGAGACACCAAACTAATGCTCAGAGGGCAAATATGTGCAAAATAAATAAAGCTAAGAAATGTAGTGTAAGTCAGAAATACTGCGTTTCCAACGGTCTCATTTCCAAAGCCATAACACTGTCATGTGACTAAATTTGCAAAGACACACAGCCATATTTCTGACTCACACTGTACCTGAAAATAAAAAGAACAAATAAATAAACTTCATATGTACTCACTTGGTAGCCGTGGCAACCACATTTTTCACAGGCTCATAATCGTAGCTTTGTGTCTGACAGCCGTAGAACTCGGCCAGCTCATGTACAAAACGTCGCTGCTCCCGATTCATTGACTGGAAGGCGTGGCTTCTGTTAGGCTGAGCAGACTGTTAGTGAGGGACACAAGAATATTTGTAAGAATTAGGGTGCAGTTTCCAGAAAACAAGGCCTAGGTTGACCTAGGACACTGAAGATGAACTGGTTATGGAGGTACACAGGGCTGGAAAGGTGGCTAGAGAAAGAGAGACTTTTAGGAGTGCTGTGAAGAGAGCAACGTTCTGTAAAGGACATGTTGATTAACTGACTGAATTAGAGTGAACCCTCTGAAAGTACCAGAGTTTGAGAAATCCTACCATGGTCTCCTAACTTGAAGGACAATAACAGGGGACAGAGTGGTAGTTATTCTGTGCTTTGCCAAGCCCGGCGATTGCCTGTGAACTTAGTATGCTTGCAGAATATTCTGTTGTATGTAGCAACCTAGTGCATGGGTGATAAATTTGAGCTGAGTGTTCACTAGTTGTGACCCTTGACAACAGATCATGACAGGGACAGACCATGACAGGGAAAGACGACGCAGAGTGGAACAGTCATTATAAAATATATTGTAAACCAAGCCTTGTGTTCCAGTCTCTTGTCGATTTCTGCATGTAGTCTGTCACTGGGGCTGAAGATTGGGACAATTATAGACCCAGCATCCTTGAGAAGTACATGGCTAAGGAACAATTTTAGCTGCACCTCCCCACAGTAGAGAGGATGGCAAACATTTCACTCTTCTTTTTCAAAGTTTACTCATGTGGGGGAGGGGGGGGACAGTGGCATAGTGGTCAAGCTATTTGCCTTGCACTCTGAAGATTGTGTGTCCATTTTACAGATTCAACATTCAGTTCAAAAAGTAGTTTTTATGGAAATCTTTTATGATTGCAGCTGGAGCTATGAAGTTTATGCTTTGTAAGACACTCTTGGCAGACTACTAGCCATATGGGAACACAACCCATGCATTGAAGTCAGCCCTCTCAGCTTTAAATTGATTATTCCATGGTACATGTGAAGGTCTAATATAAAATATTACACATCCTACTGGCAATAGTTTGCAAGTTATCATTATTTTCATTCTTATCTATGAGTCTTTCCACCAAAGAACGAGCAAGCAAGGGCATGTCATGCGACAAAAATGTATTTTTTTTAATTAAATAAAAAATCTGCCTACAAAACTTCATCAGTATTAATTGTGTTTTTCATAAAGATCTGTATATGATATAAATTCCTCTGTCAACATAAGTAAAGATTAATAAGTAAAAAGACAGCAATATTTCTTCTTCTTCTTTTGTTGTCTCACTGTTACCAGACTGTAACTCAGTGTATGTATTTGTCTTGCACTTGAGTGACAGATCTGTTCAACTTTTTGCAGGTTTCATCTACAACATTTATCCATATTTTTCTTGGCCTTCCTTTCAGACGTTCTACCGTTAAAAGCCTCATATGCAGTCTGGTCTGGCTGCATTCTCACGAGATGGCCGAATCATTTCATTCTTTACCTGTCAATATAATTCAAACATGGTCTTATTCCAACTTTCTCTCTAATGCTGGCATTCGTGACCCTGTCTTGTCTTGTGTTGTTAGTGACCCTGCGGATACAGCGCATTAGACAGCAGCAATATATGGCACTCTGAGTTTTAATACAAGTTAAAATTAACCAAATGATGACCAAGAGAGGTGTCAGATTTAGGTCTTTTTTTACCCACACAGGATTGTCAGTATGCTCTTGAAATTTGGGTTCAAGGACATATCCCAGGCATGCCCTCAAATGTGCCCAATGCTGTCATCAAATGTGCCCAATGCTGTCATCAAATGTGCCCAATGCTGTCATCAAATGTGTCTTCAATGTTTCAGAGCTTTGTGGTACCAGCTGCGGTCTCCAACAGTAGTTCAAGATGAACCATGTCACTTTTCAAATACACACAAGTTACTGCCCCTTACCTGTTTGGCTGACTGCACAAGATCGGTCAGGCTTTTCTCAACACTTAAAGCAAACTTAGGATTTTTCCTGAAAGAAATTACAATAATGTATTCAATTATTCCCCATCAATACCTAGAAAGTGGGGAACGCTCTTTTTTTTCTTTTAAACAATCATTTTAATGTAACAATATTTATTGACATTGTCATGAATACAAGGTAATCTAACCAATGATACTCATTCACTTTGCCTTGTCATATAGTGGGTAGGTTCTCTTGCTAATTTTGTCAATGCAGCAGCATTATGGGGTACTCTTTGCCATTTCCAACTGTTGTGGAATTTCAGAATCTACAGCTTGTGCAGGCAGGGACTTCTTGTTTTACACCCTTACCTGGGAAAACTAGGTATCTGGATTTGCTACTCAAGAAATCAGGGAGCCAAGCAGTATTAGAGCCTAATTCGCTACCGGTGTAAAAGGGTCCTTGTTAAGTAAAATATGGATTCTGGTCACTAAAAAATTTAAACTTCAGAATAAAAACATCTGGATAATACTATACATAAGTTGACCACCCAGACACATACAACTTTAACCTAACAACCAAACGTATAAGTTTTGACTCTTACTTAGCGTAATCCTTAAGAAATTCAGTGAAAGTTGGATTTCCCAGTTTAGCATTTATATCTGGGTTTTTGATTTCTAAGGCCAAGGCCAACCGTCTGTTACGTTCTATGATGCCACAGTTGGTATCACAATCCAGTCTGAAACATACAGCAAAATGTTAGACATATGTACACAGTAAAATATCAGCCATATATACACTGCTGAATGTTAGCCATGTGTACACTGCTGAATGTTAGCCATGTGTACACAGTAAAATATCAGCCATACATACACTGTAGAATGTTAGCCACATATACACTGCAGAATGTTAACCAGATGTACACTGCTAACACCCTGTTACCCACATGCAAATAGTGAATCATACCCACATGTAAAAAGTAAATTGTTACCCACACACACAGTAAATCGGTACCCATATGCACACAGTAAACTGGTACGCACATGTACTGAGTAAATCTTTACCAACATGTACATAGCAAACTGCTACTCACATAAACATAGAAAATCGTTACCCAAATGTACATAGTAAAAAAAAAAATCTGCATATACACAGTAAAATATCAGCCACACATACATATGAAATGTTAGCCATTTGTACAGAGTTCTTCAACTTGTGGTGGTCTGCCAAATTATGAAGCAGCTATATCATTGAAACCCTACCTTGCTGCTAAGCGAATGAGATGCCGCATGCAATGCCTTAGAAAAGGCCATGTTTGCAGTTAAAAAAAAGCAAGTAGAAAAATTGAACGGATGTTTTTGCAGCACTTTATTTCTTAGAAAGAACACTCCAGCCAGATATATTCAATTTTCTTATCCCCAAGCAGATGTACTGAATAAGTTTTTTTTTTTTTAAATGTAATTTCATAAATTGGGTTTACTACATTAAATGAGTTTTAAAGTAGTATCAAAATCCAATTTCTGCTACCCACTATTTGAAAAAATGCACCATTCTTGTGGCTTACAGAGAGTGGCACACGTGTCGCACTGTGAAACAGACTGGGAAGGATCTAAGCAGTAATATTGCCAAAAAAACAGCGCCTTGAAATAATTCCTGGCCCACGGGTGTAAAAAGGTTGAAGAGCTCTGCATCAGAGAGTGCAATGTGTCCTTCTATCTTTTTGCTTCTTTCTATGGGTGCCTATAAATACATGTTTGTTTGTTTATTATATAAACTTTAGAATGTTGGCCATAATTATCAGGGTTTGATTTCCATGGCTAACAATCTAGAAAAAGATCATTCTTATTTCTTTAGAGGTATAATCGAGAGGATCGACTTCATTGCAATGGGTTTTATCCCATATGGCTCAGTCTGTCTTGGCAGAATGGCTAGGCACCTGCTGAGAGCGTCACACAGAGCATGAACTCCGCAGCTCTAGCGACGATCCCCAGGGATCTCTGTAAAAACTGTACTCATGAACTAAAGGGCGCAGAAGCGTGAGACAAAGGGTTTGACCACTTTGCCACTTGACCTGGCACGAAAGCTGCGCCATGTAAGAGACCTGGAGCTCACTATGTAATATTCCCAAAGATGCCAACGGATACAGATATCCACCACAACCGACCTTCATTGTGAAGACACCACAGAATCCAGAACCTTCTTTGAACCACGGAAAACTGAACTGTTCAAACAACCTACCTTTTGTTAGATTTTTTTGTCTGTGTGAACTGTGACAAGTCCACACTTTGGCCTCCAGACTCTGCAATTGTCTGGACACTAAGGCGCTGGAACTGGGCCAGCTCAGCAGAGTGGTCACCTCCTATTGAGCACAAGGCTTTCGCTGCTCGTTGTCCACATGGGCAGGTGATAGTGATCTGTTGTGAGACAGATTGATTGAATAGTATTGTGTTACTACCTGTGTCAGCACTGAATATCACAAACAGATAAGCAGAAACAAACACAAAACCAAAATGACTTGGCTGCAAATTCTTACGATGTTTCTCACTCACTGAATAACTCATTCACTCTCTCTCTCTCGCTCACGCACGCTCCCTCTCTCACACGCACACTCTCTCTCTCTCTCTAATTTAAAACAGAAAAAAAAAAATAAAGAAACACATGAAACAGGTCTGCCAAAAAATTAACAGCCTCAAACAATTTTTTAAACTATACTGGGTATAGGGAAAGTTGACAGTAAGTGAGCAAGCAGTGCATAGTGATATAAGTGGGAGGTTAGAGTCAAGAGCTGGGTGAACAGCAGTCTGACAAAGTGAATAACCAAGATGACAGACAGAGAACTTTAGAGATGCGACCAATCTTCCCTGAGCAGACAATAGGATTAATCTAGGACATTGACATTTTAAATCCAAGTTGATCCCAGATAATTAACTAAGTGATCCTTTTCGGATCCTACTGATGAAATAATTTTCTTCTGGCAATTAACATTTGGACCTAGGAAAAAATATTAAACAAGATAATAGTAAAACAAGTTTACCTCAGTTTTGCATGCTGCATCAGGGCATGGACCCAAATGACATGGGGCACCACAAGGGTGACCACATGCCAGCCGAATCTTCTCACACAGTTGTGTACACACTGCACCATCCTCCAGGCAATCACCCTAAACAGATCATATCTTGTGTTAAAAGTGATACACTTTAATCAAAACTACCGTATTTTTTCTGTTTATAAAATGTTTTCCCAAATTTTGTAATTTTAAAACTGGAGTGTCTTATACAGGAAATGTGTTTAAAATATTAATTTCTTATAATTGGGAGTAAAAAATTTCTTAGGCAACGAACGAATGAAAGAACATTATTTTCAAAGGGTCACAAATTGGGCGCTCAGGCCAGTCTTACATTTGGCCCTTCCTAACTTCCATTTTTCACACAGCAGTTGTATTTTTATCAATAAAGCATGTTATGTTCATATAATAGTATGCATATTATCATCATCATTAATCAGCAAATCCTTTAAAGAACGTCGCTCTCTACGCGGCACGCTTGAAAGTATCTCTTTCCCTAGCTAGCTCTCCGGCCCCCATGTGTCTTCAATGCCAATGCTTCTTCAATGTCCTGTATCCATCTTTGCGGTGGTCGACCCCTGCCTCGCCTTCCACAAACAGCACCCTCCATCACCGTCTTTCCCAAGCCACCATGACGCTTGATGTGGCCAAAATACAATATGCATATAATAATTTTTAAAAAGGCACTTGTAAACATTATAGATCATTGGCTGCAGAATGCTGCAGGTATTTCTCTCACTCAGGGTAATAAAAAAGAAAACCATCATCCCCATTGTCCTGTTGTGCCCTTATATATCACATAGGGCTCATCTCAGTCTAGTCTCTCCATTTCATTCTATCCTGTATAATTTTCTCAACATCATGGATGGGATTCAATGCAGAACCTTTCACCTCTCTCCACAACATTCAGCTCCAATCAAAAACCAATCATAGTAAGTAACTACCATGAACTTCTAAGTGACAGAACAATTCACAGAATACTGTGTATCAAGAAGAAGAAAGGCAGTCACTGTGGCTACGCTGTTAATTCATTTGCCTCACGCTCTAAACAAATTTTTTATTCTCATACTGCAGTTTGGTTCCTGAGTGCAATTCGTATGAAAGCCCTTAAGGATCAATGGCGGAGTTGCCAGGTTGACGCAACACTCTTGACAAATGGCCAGTCATTCTGCGGAGAAATATCAAGTCCTACTGGATAAAACCTGATCCTTTTGTGTGCATCCCCTCACCTCAACAAGAACTTTCCGCCAGAGTTTTCAGCCGGTCAGCGCTAAGAGGAAGATGACTATCCAAACCAATGCTGATTTCCTTACCTTGTGGCAGACTTTCTGGCACTTGTGTTCACCACAGGGCAACAGTTTGTTGCAGGGATAGCCACAGCTGATATTGGCCATGTGGCATGGTACATTCTTCCGCAGCTGTTGACGAGAAAAATAGAAAATCGACATTAAAACAGGCAAGTACCAATTAACCTACAGGATTACTATAAACAGTCAAGAAATCTGGCCAGCACCTTGTCTTCACTCTTTGAATCACTGGAATCCCCACAGTGTTCCAGAGCCCCATTTAGGGAGAAAAGAGGGGGTGGGGGAGGGCGGACCAACTGCCCCTTACAAGCACACCATAAAAGGCAATGAATTAGGAGTTTGCTGAAGTCTGATGTATTGGGTCAAAAGTATATACCACAGCCTGGTTGTAAACTACAACAAAATCTGTCAACTACCCTTTTAAGAATGAAAAATAAAAATAAAAATAAGAATCACAGAAATGTTTGTCTCCTCATGTAGCAGTTCTGTCAAACCAAACAAACTATGAACATTCAAGAATATATCTCACAAATACATGCAAAATTCAAGGTTACACCTCATAAATACATGTCACCTTTAAACTATTATTGTGCAAAATTCTTTTTGGCTGACAACAACTTACCATATGACCACCCATGCACATCTTGTCCGTCAGGTCTGTACACGGTGGGCAGACATCTTCCATGTGACAACGATGGCGGACTGAAGAAAACAACACTTACACAGTTATCAGAACAAGTCATAAATCTCAGAATGAAGGTGGAGGGTGAAGACAAACAGTCTGTACTTTTTCAGTGTAAATGGCTAAAGTATTTGCTAGTGTGACATGATGCTTTAAATCTGGGTTAAGATTCAACAACACAAGAGTCAGGACAAGCCCACATTAGCTCGGCCTCCCTCGTCAACAGTCAGTGAACAGTCTCCACACTGATGGTATTTGTTGTCATCTGGTTAACTTCTCGTCCTGCATTTCCCCGGAGTCTCCAGATTCATTAAATGTCACTGCCATGTGTGTCTGTGGCTTAGGTGTTGCAAGCAAAATTGGTAATGCCAGGGTGCCGGGTTCGATCCCAGCTGCGGGCCTTACGCCTTGCGCTGGTTTCAACAGTGGTATCAATAAGCCAACCGTCTTGAAAGCAATGGCAAATGACTAGATTTGCCTAGAAAAATCACAACAGCCAAAAAAATGCTGGGGTTGGTTCTGCAACGTCCTGTAAAGGATACGCAACTAACTTTGTATATGTGTAACAGTGAAGCAAGTATACGCCATACCAAACTCTGGCAGAAAGTTCTGGGTTGTCCACTTCTGGACTTTTAGTCTATTTCCAGAACCTGAGTGTTTTGTGTGCATCCGTTTTACAGATTTGACTCATCTGTCATGCAGCTGTTGGTGGCTTCCTCTCAGGAAGGTGAACTCTGACTTTGAAGGACGCTCCCAATTAGTCAACTCTAATTTTTTTTTTTTTTTTTAAATTTATAAGCTGATTAAAGCAAGACATGCCACGATGTAAGAATGGCCAACCTGGGTGATCACAGTCATGGTGCCTTGTGCACAACTGACGACATTCAGGAGGTCTTGTCCCACAGGGTACAGGTGGTTCTATCATTTCAGCACCACAGTAGCAAGTCAGCTCTTCAAAACCTTGAATACAAGAAACAATTTTATGACATTTAACCCTTCTGCCCCTGAAACCTTGGAGGAAATTGTCAGGAATCTAGAAATATTCCTAAAAGAATCCATTTAAAAAATTATAACTTTGCACTGTTACTAATAATTTAGTTTTTGTTTATACACATTTTTAAAAACTGTGTAATACATATAAGAGGAGGGGTAATGAATAAAAACAAACATTAATGGTGTAGGAAATAATTAAACAATTAACCTGCCCTGAGGCCTCAAAGCTATGCAATAATGGATGGCTAAAGGCAAATAAGATTAAGTTAAGTGAATTTTTTTAAGACATTTTTTAATACCCTCTCCCCCAACCATTTTATTATTAAAATAATAATCACTGCGCAAGAGCAAACAGTACCTACGGCATTAAATACATATGGGGATTACCCAAACCCTTATTGCTGAAATACAAGTTTCTCTGAGATTTGTAACAGACGGCAATGCTTACATATCGACATCTCAGGGTCAAAGGGTTAAACTGCAAACCTGTTAAATACAATTCTATATCTTATTTTTATTTATTTTTTAACATTTCTAATTTATTTCAGTAACAGAAGATTTGGCAGAGCAGCCCAAAGGTCAAAATTATAAATGCTAGACAGTTGATGAGCCACCTGGGTAGCCTGATTTTTTTTCGCTTTTCCAAATTTAAAATAAGAGAACTCCTTATTTGCTGGCTGTGACACAATGAGGATCACAAAACATACTATGTAGTGTCTTAAAATAAGAGAACTCCTTATTTGGTGGCTGTAACACAATGAGGATCACAAAACACACTATGTAGTGTCTTAAAATAAGAGAACTCCTTATTTGCTGGCTGTGACACACAATGAGGATCACAAAACACACTATGTAGTGTCTTAAAATAAGAGAACTCCTTATTTGCTGGCTGTAACACACAATGAGGATCACAAAACACACTATGTAGTGTCTTAAAATAAGAGAACTCCTTATTTGCTGGCTGTGACACACAATGAGGATCACAAAACACACTATTTAGTGTCTTAAAATAAGAGAACTCCTTATTTGCTGGCTGTGACACACAATGAGGATCACAAAACACACTATGTTGTGTCTATGACAGATTTAAATAAATGTACATGGAATTTTTTTAAAAGATTAGACAGAGAGAGAAAACATAACATGGCTTTCATAAAACCAAAACTTTAATGGATCTAGCCAGCATGGGACAGGAGTAGTCATCAACCAGACACTTCCATAACACCAGAGCTGTGAAATCAGTTCTATCAACCACTCAGCAATTTACTGTTTCAAGAACCATTACTGCCAGCTCACATGAAATTCTCCAAGCAACTGCCTCAGGCAGAGTGATTGGTGTCCCTAAAATATTTTGGACAATGCTCTATTCTTCTGATATAACTATATATTTTTTTACTGTGCACAAAGAAACCACACCCATCCATGAATGCATTCTTTTCTCACACTGTATGATCTGTCTGCTTCATGCATCTACGCATTCCTTCCCGTTTGTCCTCATATATTAGTTTTTCCAAACTTATAAGAGTGTTACTGTTGTCATGCCATGAAAGTAATCTTTCTGTGCGACTGTGACATTCTCGGTTTTTCTTGTTTCTTTATGTCTTTCTTTATTTATCCAAGCTTCCCAAATATTTTCTGTTAACTCCTTCTTTAGTATTAACTCGAAAGTGGCCACCCATTATTTTCAATACCTCTGTTCTGGGCAGCGCGATAGAAACAGAAGCTAAACAAAGTCAAAATAATCCACAAACATGCTGCATATATCTTCACATTTAGTCACAGCACTATTATGGATCCCTTTGTACTTGTTCTTTACATATGTTTACTTACTGGCTTGCAGGCATCTCTTGCAGTTTCCTCGGTGACACAACTCCTCACATTTATGGAGACCACAGGACAGCTTCTGACCACAGACGATTTCACAGATATGGATGTCTTTCTGCAAAATATAATGGAAAGATTTAAAACTACACAAAATGTAGACCAGTGAGCTTCAGAATATAACAAACACAAACGAAACGTGAATGTTGCTGATACAAAGAATTCATCAGCACATTACACAAATCAAAAAAACTATATGTAGAGACACAAATACATAAAATCACTTAACTGATGTATTCTCGATAGCGGCCACGTTGTTTGTTGTCCACCAGTGGAATGTAAAATATAACAAAAAGTATCTTGCGGAGCAACCTTAGACACAACTCACATAAAAATGTATTCTTATACAAAGCAGAAAAGGCAAGAGGAGCTTTCATAGGACTAGGAAATGTGTGGAGGTCAACAGAAATTAAAACTAATACTAAATCTAAACTTTAAATTCTAATGTCAAATCAGTACTGTTGTATGAAGAGGAAACAGAGAGAACAACTAAAATTATTACTAATAAACTACAAAGAATTGTTAACTGATGCCTGCGCAGAATAGAGGGAATTTAATTAAATGATAGAATCACTAATGTTTAGCTTTGAGAGAGAACTAAACAAATTCCAGTGAACCAAGAGGTGTACAACAATGTAACTAGAATGTCTTTGCATAGGGAGGACATGGGGAGAGCTTCACGAAGGCTAGAAGGACTACATAAGTTGTTGAAGAGCCTGTGCCCTTTGGGGGGCGGGGGGGGGGGGGGGTTAGAGGGCAGAAGAAGAAGAAAGCAGAACCTGAGGTGACGCCAACTCCTCTCTTCTGTCTTTTCACCCAGCAGCCCTATCAACCCACACACAAAACTATCCCATTTATCAGCCTTAATGTTCATTCCACACACTGTATTGATGAGACCACCAGTGTAATTGCTATAAAGACCCCTAGAGACCATAACTGGCGTTAGAGAGTTCATGCTTTGTGTAATGCTCTTGGTAGGTGGTTAGGCACTACATATAGAGATCAAGCCAAATGGAATTAAATCTTTTGCAATCAAGTCAATCATTACAACTTCTTCATTATGTAATATTTATTAAACTACAACCATTAAAATAAGACATAAATCAAAGTCATCACCAAAACAATACAATATAAAATATGTTATTCAAAATAAGACAATATATTCCCGTTGTGGGTTCTAGAAACACAATTTGGGAAAGGGGTAGACCACACACCTCACTCCCCCAACATGCATGTCACACAAGGAAATTAATATGGTTTCCTTCAGTCAGACTGTCTGGTTTCCCCGTGTGGGTTCCGGGGCCCTATAATAAGGAAAACAAGAATAGACCCACTGCCTACCCAAAAAGCATGTTGTAAAATCGACTAACTGGAAGCTTCCTTCAAAGTCGAAGTTTATCTGCCAGAAAAGCAAGGAACCAACAGTCTGCACCCAAATGTCTCATATCTGTCAAACGGATGCACACGCAACACACAGGTTCTGAAACAACCAGAACTTTTGTCGGAGTTTTCAGCCGGTGAACATGAAGAAGAAGAAGAAGAAACTGCCTGAAAGGCAAGGAACCAACGGTTTTTGCACAATTAAACTAGGTCTTTAAAACCAGGCACACAAAACTCAAGTTTTGGGATAAAACAAAAGTCTAGAAGAGGATGAACAACCAGAACCTTTCACCAGAGTTTACAGCTGGCAACCGCTAAGAAGGAGAATAAGACAATATACTTTTTGATCAACAAAATAATAAAATATAAATGGTGACCCCTAAAACTAGACTTAAGATATGTCCACTCAACTAATACACGTTATGACAATCTATTATATTAGCTATGACCAATCGTAAACAAACAGAAAACATTTTACAAGTATAATAACAGAAAATGTTTTCAGCTATAATGGGTATGGCACTAGAATAAACAAGTGAAATGTGCCCTCTCTGTAATGTCACTAACAACATAATAATGGACAGGGTTACAAATGCCAGCATTAGAGAGAAAGTTGGAAAAAGACAGTTTTTAATTAAATGAAGAGGCAAAGAATGAAATGGTTCGGTCATCTAGTGAGAATACAGCCAGGCCAAACTGCATATGGGACCTTTCTGTTTGCTTTTAGAACATCTTGGACAAAGGTGAGGGGAAGACCAAGAAAGAGATGGATAAATAATGTAGCTGAGACTTCACCCAAAAAAAAAAAGATGAACAAATTCATCACATAAGCCACCTAAGAAGCGCAAGACAAATACAGATAACTTCAACACTGGGCTACAGCCAGGTATTAATGAGACGATAAAAGCAGAAAAAATAAGCTGTCATCTATGAGAAGTGATAGAAGATCCTATAATGACTAACAGGTGACATGCAATTAATACTCACAATGCAACAGTTATCTGAGCATTTATGTCTCCCACAGTTTTTCTTTTTGCCACATCTACGCTGGCACTTGAATGGGTTTTGTTCTGTTCAGGCACCAACAAACAAAGTTATCACAGTAGTTCACAATGTGTGATGCTTAAAGCATGATAGTTATGGGGTACAGTAAGCCCTCAATGTAAAGGACTGACAAAGCAAAAGCAAGTCTGGTAAACAGAGTCTACTATAGTTTCTTGAATTTTTTATTACAGAATGATTCTGCTGCACCCAAATCTTCTAAAATATGTGAGTAATAAAGCAATATGTGATTTGTGACTTGATCTTTCTTATTATCTTCCCGGTGAATATCAACAACCTTCCTGTGAACATCAACCACCTGCCCGGTGGATATCAACAACCTTCCTGTGAACATCAACCACCTGCCCGGTGGATATCAACCTTCTTCCCTGTCAATACCAACCATCTTCCCTGTGAATATCAACCAACGGCCAAGCCAAATAGCTATGGCAACGACGCTTCTTCACATCATGCCATCTCCAAATGCATATATCATCAATTCTTGTGCTGACACTTGTGTATGTCTGTCCCACTACCAGGCACCTGCAGCGAGTGGCAAACACAGAAGTGTGCCAACACAGGCAGTGGTTATTGTGAAGAGAAGAGTTAGTTGGTGGGCAGCTATGTGTATCAAATACTTCAAAACTCTGTGGCCACTGATGGGCAAAACAAAGTGCCACCTAGTATCATCTGTGTATACTCACAGTAAACAGATCATCATTATATGTTACTGCCATCTTGCACCAGCTGTGTACAGATTCACAATAAACAGATCACCATCATCATATGTTACTGCTATCTAGCACTAGCTCTGTACACTCACAGTAAACAGATCATTATATGTTACTGCCATCTAGCATTAGCTCTGTACACTCACAGTAAACAGATCATTATATGTTACTGCCATCTAGCACTAGCTCTGTACACTCACAGTAAACAGATCATTATATGTTACTGCCATCTAGCATTAGCTCTGTACACTCACAGTAAACAGATCATTATATGTTACTGCCATCTAGCATTAGCTCTGTACACTCACAGTAAACTGATCATTATATGTTACTGCCATCTAGCATTAGCTTTGTACACTCACAGTAAACTGATCATTATATGTTACTGCCATCTAGCATTGTCTGTGTACAGATTTACAGTAAATAGATGATTATACGCTGCCGAGTTAAGTACCGTAGTATACTGGCCAGATCCCTAAGGACACTTCCCGCTGATTCATTCTCTCCAGACCATAATGATCTATCAAGCTCCAACACTGTTCACCTGTTCTACAATGGTCTAGACCACATCTAACTTGCCATGCATCAATTCACCAACCAGTGGTGCAGAACCAGTGAACCTGTCTTGCACCAGCTGGGTACAATGCGCCAGTCTAGCTGATAACAAGTGTATATTACTACCATCTAGAATTGCTAACGTACAGATTCACACTAAAACTAACTATTGACATAATGACTTCATACTAAACTCACCCTGTTGCTACCAACTTAAACAGTTAACATAATACACAAAATGGAGGATAAGCACGTTCACTGTTTTCAGCTGTGGCAAATTTTGGCTTCTGATGGATGGCAGTCTTTACATTTTCCTCTATTTGTAGGCTGAAAGGACATAGTTTTGTCGCCCTGCTACTGAGCTGCAGATTTCTTTTGGAATGTTTTTTGCTGTGACTGACATCTTGTGAACTATAGATTCAGAAACTGCAAGTGGCCTGTTGCATCAGAAGTCTGAGAAGAGGTAGAGCCTCATGTAGTTAAATTTAGCAACGTGTGCAATTACTGATCTGTCTAACTGCTGCTTCCGTTAATAACGAAACTGCATTTCTAATGCAGGAATATTTGTGTCAGCACTTCTGACGGCTGCCTTATGCTTTTAATGAGTGTGTATGCTGGTGGATTTGTCAATACTGCACTCTGTGTCCATTTTTCCACAGCAGACAGCGATGGACATTGTGTGTGTGTGATTTTTTTTTTAAGCACAGGAGCTGAGCAACTGTGGGGTGTCCCGTTTGCTATGAAGCTAAAACTAAGATTAAAAGATACTACAAAACTACCTTCCTCTAATCTTACCATCATATGTCACGGCAACTTCACAAGGCATCTTCTTCTCTGTTGCCCCACACAAACACTTGAGAATGGTTTCCTTACTGCAGGGACCACATTCACCAGCATGGCATGTCTTGTCACAGAGGTGAGGGTTTGCTAGAAACAGACAATAACAATTTAAGACCACCACAGAGTCTATGAAACTTCATCTATGTTCTTCTTCTTCACTTCCTCTTTTACCGCTGTGGGTGTCGAGGGAGATATAAGGTTCTCTTTCTAGCTCTTCTGGCCACCTCGACCATAGGCACATCGTGCTGTTGTAGAGTTTCTCTGATGTTATCCTTCCATATTGTTCTTGGTCTACCTCGTGCTCTACGTCCTTCTTCTCTTTCATCTATGTTCACACCTTGTTATTTGCCTCAGAGGTCCCCGTGTGGGTTCTGGGACCCCATTTTGGTGGGGGAGGGGGGGGGGAATAACATACCCATTGCTCCCTAACAAGATGGATTTGTGGAAGCTGGACATGTTGGATCAAAAGATGCAGTTATTGCAACCTAGCTGTATATCACTACTGCAATCTAGCTGTAAATCACTACTGCAGCCTAGTTGTAAATCACTACTGCAGCCTAGCTGTAAATCACTACTGCAGCCTAGTTGTAAATCACGCCAGCTCCCATTCATGAAACAAAACATTTTAATTATGGGAAAATTGAACTATTAGAAAATGTTATCCAGTTTTATTTTGTTTAAAGTATTAAAAGCCATGGAAATGAAAACGACCGCAGGAATGTGACTACAAGAGATAAAAGAAGAAATGAGGCCATAAGAGAAAAAGTCTGCATAGAACCAATATGAAAACAGGAAATCAAATGGTTTGCCCACTTTGAGAGAAAGCCTTGTGATGCCATACCATACAGACATGCACCAAAACAAGAGCATGGGACAGACCAAGAACAACATGGACAGATAACATCAGAGAAACTCTACAACACCACAATGTGTACAGCTGAGGCAGCCAGGTGTAACCTTATACCTTCCTCGACACCAAAAGCGGTAAAAGTGTAGGTGAAGAAGTAGAAAAGACTCATAAATTATAGTACTTACTGGGTGACCCACAGGACATAGCTTTGTTGCACATCTGTTTGCAGGTGGGTACAGGATCCAAGCAGGAGTGTCGCTCAGGGACATCAAGCTCTGTGAGTGTGGTTTTGCCACAGGAGCAGGTTTTGAGGTTGCCAGGCATCAAAGGACAGGAAGCACAATCTCCAGGGTGACACAGCTCCTCGCAGACATGGTTACCACAAGCAAGTTCTCTAATTAGTGAAGATGAAAAAAAGTGAGCACTGTACTCTGAGCATCAGAATCAGGTCTCTGTCAGATGTAACTTAGCTATCATATAACAAACAGCAGTGAGCTGAGAGTACCAAACCTGACTTCCCACTTGTGACAACGGCTTCGGGCAGAGAAGCATACCGGAGAAAATATAAGCAGTAGCCTGGGACGAGGTATGCAGCCTAAAGCCTCAATCTTATGGCAGGGTAGACCAGGCTCATATTTCAGTTAGTAGTTGGTCTTGGAGGAAGATTCAGTAGGTAAAAAGACAGCACTCATCTTCTGATCTGACAGATTCTACAGCTTTTGTTCCAAACATATTGGTGTTTTCTTTGGAGTCAAAAAAGCAAGCCAAGAGATTATGCTGCATGGGCAACACATGGTCTCTACATAAGCCAGACTTTATCCTATGGTGGAGGAACTTCATCCATAGCTTTATTAAATGGCACCACACACATGCTGTGATTCTCATGTCTCCCTATAGCACAATGTTTATGGGACACTATCATCTGGAAAAAAGGAAAGGTGCTAACAACTGAAGGTTCAACTTCTTCTAAGCGTTTGCCGCTGTAAACTGGTGCAGTTCTGGTTGTCTGTCCACATCTTATCTTGTTCCAGAAGTTGACTTTTGCATGTATATCCATTTTAATGATTTGGCTTATTTGTAAGCAGACTATTGGTTTTCCGCCTCTCAGGCAGATACACTCGGATTTTGAAGCAAATACCCATAGTCACCTTTATGACACACTTATGGGGGGCAATAAATGGGGCCCTGGAACACATACAGGGTTCAGCTTTTTACACGCTCTTTAGAAAAGGGGGTAAATCGTGGTTGGGTAGGGCAGAGGATGTTACCAAGCAGGTTTTTAGTGAGCAAGAAATTGATATCTGTGCCTTAAGTACTCAACTGCACTTTCTCCTGTGTGATCACGCTTCAAAGGAGTTGCAGAAATCCTGTTTCTATCAAACCCGAGGTCCGCACATTTATCATTGACAATTTAGAGAGTCTGATGTGCTGATCTATATAGATGGGTCAGTTATATGAGGACATAAGAGTGCAGGGGCAGAGGAAAAGTCTGACCTGTAAAGGATTATGATCACATTGGGCCAGGAGTGCAGAGAGGGGCCAGGAGTGCAGAGAGTGGCCAGCAGGTGCTACGGAGGCGGAAGTGCAACAGTTTATTCACAACTCACGGCCTGGTAATCAGATTACTTACCTATACAGGTGGTTCAGTGCTAAGAGAAAGATTTAAAACAGAATAAAAAGTATTTCAGTGAGCTTCACAATATAACAAACAGAGAGGACAGAGAAGTGCCTGGGGGTTCGTAGTGAAAGTCAATGGAAAATCTTTACTGCAAGACAGCCTAGCATACAATACCACAACATCCAGCATGAGAATGGGGGTGGAGGCGGTAACATGCAGTTCTCTGGTGGCTAGAGAACAAGTTGCATACACATGTCATAATTGTAACTGACTCTGAAAGCATGCTGAGAAAGGTGAAGACAGGGAGGCTTCGTGTAGAGTGGCAAGCTTCACTGGGAAGGTCACGAGTACTGGGCATACTTTGGATCTTTTCTCCAGGCCATGTCGATGTGGTGGGTAATAAACAAGCAGACAGACTAGCTGGATCTGCACCACTGGGTGGTGAACTGATACATGACAAGGCAGATGTGGTCAAAGCCCCTTGGGAACAAGCAATGGAATCAGTAGAAAAACAAGATTATTATGGCCTGGAGAAAATGCAGCACCTGGGTGTAACCAGAAGGTCTGGCAGGTTCACTACACTCAGAAGAAAGGCAAGACGGACATATAACCAGATTGTGACCGGTACCATCAGTATTAAAACTCAGCACACGTGGGAATGCCCCGAGTGCTGTGATGTCAATTCTTGACACATCTCAACTCAACAAGAGTGCATGGGCATTCACAGCTCTGCTGCAGAACAGTCCAGGAAGCTAGCGGCGCCTTCTCCATGACTACCAGCAGCAGGACAATGGCGGTGACAAGCATTCATTTGACTGAAATCACAGGAATACTCCCACATGTGTGTGTGCTGAGTGATTCTATGAGCATGATCCAGCAGGTCAAGGCAGGCTCCGTATGTAGACAGCGGAGTGAGTCGTTGCAATCAACTACCTTCATCTTTGTCCCAGGGCATGAGGGTGCTGCTGACAATAAAAGATCTGACAGATCAACCGGTTGTGCGTTAGCTGCAGATGGCTGGTCTATGATCAGGTTGACATTGTTAATGTCCTTAAAGAGAGAGAGAGGATGACCAGAGGATTTTGGGAGTAAGATGCATCACAACTCAGAATGCAAGAACTTGGAGTAAAGCATAAGAGGCACACCAGACATATAAAAAGTCATGTTAACCAGCAAAGGACTGGCATTATTAACCACTGGAAGCTGATGTACATGTTGAAGGGGAAATCTGAGTGCTGTGACAATACTCTAATGCATAATTCTAAGCAGCAGAGAAGAAAAAACACTACACACAAAAAATTATAAAGATAACAAACACATGCTAAATTATTCATATTGGTGAGTGTCTCAGCTTACTTTCCACACGGCTTCTCACAACTGAATGAAGTCTGTACAAATTCTTCACTCCCACACATGGCCTTGCGTGTCATCTTCTTGCAAAAACATTCTGAAAGTTAAATTTGCAACCGATAAAAAAAGGGTAGCAGGCCTGGTGTATTATGCCATAGTCAAAAAAATGAATCTGTGACCATTAGATTAAAATAAATGGCATAGTCAAATCACCAAAAAGATATACCAACTGTATCAGATCCTAAAATATTTTGCTCTGAGTTTGTACTATAGCCGATTAAACAAGTCACACTGCAAGTGTCAGGATGTATTTAAGTACAGTATTGCTAAATACCAGTCAACACTTAATAGGTGATGCTGTCAAAATGACACCAATCGCCTTAAGACACACTGTAAGACTTGCTAATTTCTATGGCAGTCACATAGGCAAGCCAGAGTATAAGGTAATAAGTGAGCAAGACAAACTGGTAAGCAATGCAGCACTGCATAGGGGCAGAAGTATGAAATGAGTGCTGATAACATCTATGCTGCAGAGACTAGATGTGACCTGGGAGTAAAGCCCAACTATGCCATCTTCAAAGTCAAGACAGAAGACATTATAACCAGCTTCTAACTGTTACCTTGCAGTGGCTGCTGCATCAAAGGACTCAGCATGTTTAGGAATGTCCAATGTGCAAGGAAGTCGACTGTCATAACATATGGCAATCAGAGACATGCTGGTGTCATGCGCTATAGGATCAGACACCCCATGACCAAAACCTTCTTTCCCCTTGTTGCAGGTTCTCCTGGTAAGAGACATGTCTAAGCAAGGCTGCCATGAAGAGACTTGAGTACAATCTCTTTAATGAAGAACCCTGCATATACATCCATTTTACTTGTTTATTTATGTGCACTTGGTTGCTCCTTGCCACTCAGGCAGATGCACTCCCGACTTCGAAGAAAATCCCCAATTAGTCAACCCCTACGATTTTTTTGCTGGGGAGGCAGTGGGTCTATTTTGGTTTTCCCCACAATGGGACCCCGGAACCCACACGGGAAAGGCAAAGCTCAGAATGTGAGCAATCTTTTTCAGCCAGGATGAAATCAGGTCGGTACCACAGCTTCTTCTTTGCTTGCCCTTAAAAGGGTGGTTGGCATGCTGTATTGTGGTTACATCTAGGTTGTGATACCTGCCTCTTTTGACCTAAAACATTACATTTCTGCAAACCTCTAATCAGTCGACTTTTACAACACTGCTTGGGTGTGTGTGTGTTGGGGGGAGGGGGGAGAGAAAAGGCAGTGGGTCTAACCCCCTCCCCCCCCCCCCTTTTCAAAAAAAGGCCTAAGTACCCACATGGGAAAAGTGCTACTCTCTGAACCTATCAGTCTGTTAAAGAAATCAGAAGAACAAAACAGAACTAGTTTCTCAACAAAAGCAACAGGAATCAAAGGCTCACCTTGCATCTTATACACCAGGCAAGGAGAACAAGGTCCAGCATGACACACCTCCTGGCAGTTATGGTCCAAACAGTTCAACTTTTTATCACAGATCTGATCACACTTGAAGCTGACGGCTGCTGAACAGCGGACATTTTTCCTAAGGAAGTACAGAAACTGTTAAAAGAATGTCAAATCAATCAATATGGACTAACTTATATTAGATAACTACATGTTTGTTGTTCTTTCGAGATGACAGTTATGCTGTGCTTTATGGAAGAATGGGAATCACACGCAGCCCATTGCCAATGTGGACGCGATTAGAATGACCCCAAAACATTTAGAAACCTTCCATAATAATAAAATGGTATTTCAGGATAACTGTTGTGATCACATTTATTCAAAGGCTTTTCTCACAGAAGCTGAAGCTCTCGACCCATTTGCAATAATTTTATTTTTGAGGTTTATGAGGTAGCTAGTCCCAGGCCAACCTTCCGTAGTCAAGCGTTAACCCTTTCAGTTGCTTTTGCGCTGGCCCAGTATTTAGTATTTATAAGGTCAGCGTAGGTGTATATTTACTTTAAAAAAATAGCAGGTAAGGAGTCTGCTTTTGAACCAAATGGGTTATTAAAAAGCCAAGCTGTTGTGAACATTGTCCACAAGCCTCAGTGATAGAGGTTACAGTGTGAGTCACTTGATGCATACATTTTTGGACTTTGAGCAATGTATTCCATTTAATGCTTCATGTTGTCCACATTTATCGATATCTCCCTTTATATATATTTAGAAAAGAAAAAAAAATATTTAAAATGTGGATATATGAATGTTTAAAAAATATGACCTGTGTAAAATGTTCAAAATAAAATTTCTTTTGGGAAGGGAATTCTTGTGGATCATTACCTATTTTTTTTTATTCTTCCAGCAACAAAGGGATAAACAAGCACAACAGCTTACAGCATTACTATGCTTTGCTCCCCTTATGGGCCCAAAGAGCAAATTTTTTGCACAGATGGTAGTCAATGAACAAACCATCCTGGTTTTCACTCTTGAAGAGCTCAGGCACAAGCTTGATATGAGTGTTGATGTTGTGCTTGTTAAACAGCATGAAACCAATCTATATCAGGTCCCCAATTTATCAAGGCGTACAAGGAGCCTCTTAAGGCCCAGCTCTATTCTCATAATGTGAGAAGTGGTAAATGGGACAAAGGGACTGCTACAATTGGGACAAGAATGGAGTGGCTTCTTGTGTCACATGACTACTATGTTAGCCATGCAGATCCATAACCAGTCACCCAAAAACGTCCTGGCCAACGTGACTCTAATAAAGCTGTGACACATTTAGTAAGGAGCAGTTGATTTATTATTGCTCAAAGATAGAGACATAAACTGACTGATCACGCATTATTTCTGCAAGAGAAATCACTCTGGATCTCTCGAAAAGATATAAAACCAACAATCTTACCTAATCTTGCCACAGTCACAAGTTAACCACACCATTGCAAAACAAGGTGGACAGGGACCAGGATGGCACAGACTGAAAAGGAATTGAGACAAATAATGAAATTTTTTTTGAAAAAAGAAAACACAAACAACAGACAGCACAATTGTTACTGCTGGCATATTTTGCTGCACCTTGTCAGGTGCACTCTACAGTAACTATTAAATAAATAAAGCAAATAAGTAAATCCTTTATAACTGAAGCACAAATTCAAGCACACTCAAAAGCAACTGCCCGTTTTACCCTGGCAATCGCAGGGTCAGTAACATGTCTTTCTATTTACAAAGTTCAGGGCGGAGATAATGCATTGTGGCGGCTTCAAGAAATCTTAGCACTCTGCAATTTAAAACAATATCTAAAATGTTTTACATAAACTTTACATTCAGTAATTTGCTATTGCTTTCTGCCTGGTAGGATGCTAACACCATTGTCAAAATCAATACAAACCCCTCCTTACCCACACACAACTGCAGGTTACACTTGGCTGGTCTTGCTGTTATGGGTGTTCTAATTATAATTTCTATTGTGGTTGAATATGTATATTGGATCTGCCTTGATGGTCTTTCATCCAGCCAGTCTGTCTAAATGAACAGGCGGACAGACTGGCTGGCTCTGCACAACTTGGTGGAATACTGATACATGATAAGGCAGACGTGGTTAGTGCCTTGTGGAAGAGCGTGTACAATTCGGAGGAGCAGATCACCACAGTGGGATCACCAGTCTGGTGAGATTGATGCAGTCGGGGGTGACGAGAGGTTCTGGCAGATGTTCGAGGCTCAGAGGAAAGGCAAGACGGACGTTCAATCAGAATGCTACTGGCACCATTAGTATCGGAACTCGGAAGGATGTAGTGCTATAGTATTGTTGCTAAGTTGTCTGCTCCTGACAGCCTAGTGCCCATCTAGTTAAGGTGCTGGAGTGCTGTAACTAGTTCAGGAAGTATTTCTATCAACAGCTATTAGCTGAAGGTGACTGCAACAGGTTTCCTTTGGTGTTTGAAAATAAGATTATTTGAACCGATAGTTAGTTAGTTAGTCTTTCCTCTTGTGTCGAGTACGGCACATAGGGCAGAGGTCATGACTCTCCATGCATGGAGGTTCGTTGCAATCCGTTGTAGGTCTTGGATGTTTGAGTGGCCCATGAGCGAGCCTTCCCTGATGATAGTTCTACGTAGGGTTTCCCTTGGTCTTCCACGAGATCTTTTCCCCTGTGGTGTCCAAATGAGGGCTTGGTAAGGAAGTCTTGATTTATCCGTTCTAAGGGCGTGGCCGACATAGTTCCAGCGGCGTTTTCATATAAAATTTGAACTGATAGCGTACAGTTTAACAAAAGTCAGAGCACTAGTGGACTGAGCGGATACAGTTTTAAATTGTTTTTTTTTTCTTCCATGTCTTTTAATATTGACCTAAGCTTTCAGGTGAAGTACTAAATACAACACAGATTGTGACTAGAAAATTCAGCAAGCTGATATATCAACGCTATACAGACTAGGCTGGAAGATAATGATAAAACTCTAACATTAACAAGATCACATGACCTCGGAGTGGGCCTGGTGAAGCATGGCAGTGATGATTCAAGAAAGGAAGTATATCATGAGAACAATCAGTAAAGATACCTTGGGCAGGCTGCTGCACATGAGGATTAAGCACGCATGGGAAGGCCCAATGTGCAGTAACATTGATTTTGATAACATACTTGTCAAAAATAGCACTGAAATGAACACTCACATAGTGCATGTATGCTTGCAGCCACCTTTCCGCTTCTTTCGGCATGTTTCCCCACAGCTGTGTGCTATTTCCCCTCGCTTGTAATTTGGATCACGCCTTCGACCTGAGTAGAATTTAGAAGCATTAAACAAAGCTAAAAAGCAGCCTTAAATATAAACATGTTACAACTAAATTACTAAAATTAACACCGCTGTTATAGTTTACTTCTGCTGATGCAAGGAATGATGATTTAAAAGACACAGAGACAAGTGAAATGGTTGCTATAGTATTTTATGCTGGTTTATTTTGGCTTTTTAATGTAATTCAGTGGCAGTGATTGCTGTCAACTACAACCTACAGGTAAGCAGACAGTAATGTAAAGGTAAAGTCGGGAGATGTGAACCAGCGTCATTGCACACGGTTATAAACCATAAGTGCTCTGCCACCAGTACGGACAGCTGATAAGAATTGTCCTCACGTAACTCTGTGGCTACAGCAATGTTCCTCCATTTACCACCAGAGTGTCAACTCTGGTACCCATTTCCTAGAGGCTGGGTGAACCCCGAGAGCCGCTTGGTTTCGAACACCGACCGTGGGCTGCAGCGAGTCGCAGCTGGATTTTAAAGCGAGCCTCTTATCGAGTGCGCCTGACATGTAGTAGGGGGAGGGGGGGGGGGGGGGGGGGGGGGGGGGGGGGGGGGTGGGGGGGGGGTGGGGGGGGGGGGGGAGAGAGAAAAGATGTAGTAATGGGATGTTAACTCCCAAACAACACACAATGTGTGAATCACTCTATCTCCTGAATCAACTCTGTACCTTAATATGTTCTCTTATTTTTTGTACTGGTCAGACCACACTCAGGAAATCTGGCGTGCCCAAAGGTCACTATGACTGTCATATAACTACTTTTAAAGTAATGCACTGACGAATGTTAATCATGGATATTTCTTCACCGTTATCTCCTACAAAACCTTCTTCTGGCATTAAAAGACTTCAGGAAGAGCTGGCATGAAAATACCTATTGAATCAACAGAAATGTTCAGCTGCAAAATGAAACAAACAGAATAATATAGTGGTAATAGGTAATGAAGTGATAATGGGAACATTAAGACGTGGGTGATAAAAAAAAGCGAAGAGATAATTTTTCAGCTACTTTTACACAGTGGACCATTATGTCAAAGACTTTTCATATATTATATACATGAAACATAATGTTTATAAAGCACAACTTACCGCAGAAACAGCGATACTGAGATGGGATGTTTACAGAAACATTCTGGCAACCTGGACACCTCCAACTTTTGGTTTCTGTTGAAATGTTGCAAAATGTTAAGAGATTGAACATTAATCTTTATCTCTAGCCTGACTGCAATGTAGATACACACATTGTGTGTGTATGTGTGTGTGTGTGTATATATACTGTTCCTGTTTAGAGACAGAAGGCAAGAGATCACATTCACACAGAGATCTAGCAGTGCTGAATGTCAAAAGCATAACATACAACATTATTTGCTAGAGTACAAAATGTAACTCCAAATAATGTCACTATTTTCCTTCTCATAAACCATGAATTTCCAGGATCCTCGCTAGTGCTACGGAGTTTGTGCAATGGCCTAACATTCTTTGGACTCAGGCTCGAGTTAGAAGTAGAATGGAGCAATTATGGGTTATACCCTTGTGCCCTGATGTTGATCCGTTGTGCAAACCAAACGAACTATAACATTTTAAAATTAATTTGGTAACCTCAAGTTCTTATTATTATTATGTGTTTGCCCTTAAAAGGGTGATGGAATATATATGACTAACTGCAATGAGTCTATGACTATTGAAAGCACTAAAATGTGATATCTATTGAGAGGAAAAGAAATATTAAATAGTATCTAAAGATTTAGTTGTGTATCCTTTACAGGCTGTTCTAGAACCAACCCAAGCATTTTTGTGTCTTTCATTTTTTTTTTATTCAGTAGTGCTGATGAAAAGTCAGTGCTCCACATCATGTTCAAAATAAATACAAAGCAGCCTTCTGTCAAATTGAACACCTTATTTCAGAATTACAAAGAGCTCATATACTAAAAACATGAAAATGTCCTCAAGAGAGGATCATTTTTTAAAGTAAAATATTACTGTTCTGAAGACACTCTATCAAGTGTAAAAGTATGGTAAAACGTCTGAAACAGCAAGTGTAACATGAGACATCCATATGAGAAAAAAATGTGAATATCATAATCATTAAAAGATATAAATAAACATAACAATACATTTTCCTTCTTCTTCTTCAGCATTTTTAGCCCTAGTTGTTTGTTTGTTGCTGCAGAAATCCCCCCCCCCCCCCCCCCCCCCCCCCCCAATCATCTCTGTGACTGGTCTTCTCCTTCCCTTTGGTGACTCCAAATGAGGAGTGGCTGGCCAAATGGCTATAATGCTGTACTCTCAAGGGGAAGACATGGATTTACATCTGCAGTAAGGTTATGGTTTTTTTTATGTCTGTGATACAGACAAATAAAACCCACAAACAAACACAGAACAGTGTGTTTTAAAATGCTAAGGCCATAAACAAACACTGATTACCTTTACACAGAGATGACTGTGCCCACTTCTGTATGCAGGACAAATGGAAGACATGGTAGCAGTTCTGACAGCTCCACACGGCTGACTCCGGCCTGATGTTATCACAGCACACCATGCACTCATACTTGCTGGATGACAGTTGTTCGGTTAAAGTTGCTGAAATTTGATCAGTAGCTTGAATTAAGTTCACAGAAATACTATTCAAAAACGTTTGTCGTATAAAAACATAAAGTAAAGCATAGAACAGTAACACCACTTTAACTAACATGAACTCACTTAAGAACATTTAGTAAACATAGACATTTTTTCCCAGTAGGGGTGTATTATTATCATTAGTCCCAGTTAGCATGCATTTTGTGTGTGAAGGATAACTATTATCGGGTCCCTCAGAATGTGTGTTACCAAGGTGTTAACTATAATTGAATAAATAAATAAATTCCATGCATCTGAACATTTCATTGCTGCTTGTATTTACCATTACTGTGGTGTTAGCATTAAAGTCTTTAAGCCTGATGATTAAGGGCCATATGGCTAATGCTGTCGCCATCAACTATGCAAGTTAGGATTTTATCTCTGCCCCCGACAGAAACAAACCCAAAATCTTACCAAGGATTTGAACTAGGGTCTCCTTATGAGATCCAAGCTTTTTTAAAACAGTTCATGTCATGAAAAGCACTGGCCAAAATGTTCATGTGTGACTTTTAAGCTGTTTAATGACAGTTCATTGGATTATTTCTTAAGGGGCAGTGAGTCTATGCTATTGTGTCCCTATAAAAGGGCCCCTGATCCAACTTGTGGAACATTTATTTTAGACATGGAGCGATATTTCTGACTCACATTGCAGATAACCTAATAACCTTCTCAGAGTCTTAACAAATAAATAGTTTTCAGGGAAAATGCACCATAATATTCTAGAAGACAACACAATATTGAGATGATTTGATAATTACACATTCTTTTAATATTTTATGTAACTTCCACATCAAAATATGGAAGCAGCAACCCCCCCCCCCCCCCCCCCCCCCGCATTAGAAATGATGTCTACTTCTGCCTTTTACACCTCCTGTGGGGATAAGTCCTCAAACAACTTAAGGTAAATTGTAAATGGCGACCCTAAGGGAAGCAATCTATTGTATATCATTATTACTTTAAATCGCCCGTGTGTCACCGGGGCCCTCACGGGAAGCAAAGAATAGTGACACTGCACCCTACCAGGCATGTCGTAAGAGGCGACTAAGGGTAGGGTTGGGCGTGAGGTTGGCTACCTCATCCTGTAAAAACCATAGCCACAAAAACCAACCAACCATGGATAAGTCAAAAAGAGAAGCAAATAAACTCCAGCCAACCAAGATGAGGGGAGGCTCTTCAAATAGAAGAAGTATGACACGGTGTGGAGAAAGCCGTAAGGAGTCCGGATCGTTGACTTACCTCCTCTCAGCTAGGAAAACCTCCAGAATTGGCACCTGGAATGTTAGAACTCTCTATGATATAGGGAGAAACAATGGAAGTAGCAAAAGAAATGAAACATTATAGAATTAGTATTTTGGGTTATGTGAAACTAGATGGACTGGGACAGGGAAAAGTATTCTCAATTCAGGAGAAACTATTTTGTTCTCAGGACACACAGAGGAAAATTCGCCGCACAGTGAAGGAGTGGCCCTGATGCTATCAAAAGAAGCAGACAGAGCACTAATAGAATGGGAAGCTGTGAGTCCCAGAATAATAAGAGCATCTTTTAGAACAGTAAAACAGAAGGTGAACATGTCGGTAATACAGTGTTATGCACCAACAAATGATAAAGATGATCTGTTAAGGAAGAATTTTACATGCAGCTTCAAAATATTATAAATAATGAAAGAAAGGGCAACTTAAAAATTTTGATGGGTGACTTGAATGCTAAGATAGGATCAGACAACACAGGTTATGAAGAAATTATGGGGAGACATGGTCTAGGAGTAATGAATGAAAATGGAGAATTGTTCACAAATTTTTGTGCAGGTAACGAGTATGTTATTGGTGGAAGTATTTTTCCCCATAAAATAATACACAAGGCAACATGGGAATCACCAGACCATAAGACAACTAATCAAATTGACCACATTTGTATTAACAAAAAGTTTAGATCATCCCTTTACGATGTTAGGGCTTTCAGAGGTGCCGATGTATTTACTGACCATTTCCTGGTGATAAGTAAAATCAAGTTGAAACTAAAAAGATATATAACATCTTATAATCATAGAAACCAATATAATGTAGGCTTTCTCAGAGATAAAGAAATTAAGGAACAGTTCTCAGTTACGGTCTCTAATAAGTACCAGGTGTTGCAGCAGTTAGCTGAAGATGTCAACACAGAAGTCTTCTGGGATCAGATCAAAGGAATCTGGAATGAATCTTGCGTAGAAGTTCTTGGCAAGAAAGAAAGGAAACGTAAAGCATGGATAACACCAGAAACCATTAAACTGATTGAAGATAGGAAAAGTAAAAAGGCAGAATTAAACAATAGCAAAACTAGAGCAGCCAGAAGAGCTAGAAACAGAACCTTATATCTCCCTCGACACCCACAGCGGTAAAAGAGGAAGTGAAGAAGAAGAAGAAAACTAGAGCTGCTAAAGCTAGAGCTCAGGAGAATTACACAGAAGCCAACAAGGAAGTTAGGAGGCATATAAGGGCAGATAAAGTGAAATATCTAAATGATCTAGCACAAGAAGCGGAGACAGCAGCAGCAAAAGGAAACCTCAGAGAACTTTACAGTAACACAAGAAAATTAGTAGGTAAATATAGTCAGCCAACTGGATCAATCAAAAATAGTCAAGGAAAGGTACTTACTAACACTAAAGATCAAATGGACAGATGGGCTGAATATTTTGAAAGGCTTCTAAATAGACCAGGCCCAGAGGCTCCCCCAGATATCCAGCCTTTAGAAATGGAACTGAATATCAACTGTGAGATACCATCCAAAGAGTAAATTAGATAAGCTATAAAGCTTCTTAAGGAAGGAAAGGCGTCAGGCCCAGATGGTATCCCAGCTGAAGCCATCAGGACCAACATAAACACATCAACAGAATTGCTACATAGATTATTCAGTAAAGTCTGGGAGACCGAAGAAATACCAGCAGACTGGAGAGAAGGATATCTTGTGAAACTGCCCAAAAAAGGTGATCTACAGGAGTGTGAAAACTATAGAGGAATTATGTTGCTGTCAGTTCCTGGAAAAATATTAAGTAGAATTATTTTGGAAAGATTAAAAGATGCTATTGATAAAATGCTAAGAGATGAGCAGGCAGGTTTTCAGTCCAACAGATCCTGTACTGATCAGATAGCCACATTACGTATTATAATAGAGCAAAGCATTGAACTGAACTCACCACTTTACATTGGATTTATAGACTATGAAAAAGCATTTGACAGCATTGATAGGGAATCTCTCTGGAAATTGATGGGGCACTATGGAATCCCACAGAAAATTATCAACTTAGTAAAGGCAACATATAAAGACATGAAATGTCGAGTTCTTCATGAGGGAAAGCTAACAGATGCATTTGAAATAAAAACAGGTGTGCGACAGGGATGTCTTTTGTCGCCTCTCCTATTTTTACTGGATATAGACTGGACTATGAAAACAGTAACTGCTAACACCAAGAATGGAATTCAGTGGACCCCTACAAAACAGCTTGATGATCTGGACTTCGCTGATGATATTGCCCTTCTGTCCCATTCACGGAATCAGATACAAGATAAATTAAATATACTTAATGCGAGATTACAGCAGCTTGGTCTGAAAATCCATAAAGGAAAGACAAAGATAATGAGAATAAATCAGGCAAATAATAATGTGGTTTCTCTTAATGGCACCCCACTCCAAGACGTGGAGTCGTACACCTATTTGGGCAGTAATGTAGATAAAGATGGAGGAACTGATAGAGATATTAAAATAAGAATACAAAAGGCAAGAGGGGCTTACATAGCACTAGGGAATTTGTGGAGGTCAAAAGAAAAAAATACTAAACTAAAAATTTTTAATTCTAATGTCAAATCAGTAACTATTTGTATGGGGCGGAAACATGGAGAACAACGAAGGCAATTACTAATAAATTACAGACATTCATTAACTGGTGCCTGCGCAGAATAGAGGGAATAAAATGGTACGATAGAATAACTAATGTAGAACTTTGGGAGAGAACTAAACAGGCTCCAGTGGATCAGGAGGTGAGGAAAAGACGCTGGCGTTGGATAGGGCACACACTGAGAAAACAGGAGAACAGCATAACTAGAATGTCTTTGCATTGGAACCCACAGTGGCATAGGAATAAAGGAAGGCCAAAAAACACATGGAGAAGAGAGCTGGAGAATGAGGTTAGAAAGATTGGGAGGACATGGGGAGAGCTCTATGTAATGGCGAAGGATAGAACGACTTGGCGTGAGTTGGTTGAGGGCCTATGCTCCATTGGGGGATAAAAAGGCAGAAGAAGAAGAAGATTACTTTAAATGCCAACCCTATCACAAGGGACGTAATCCATTGCTTGTGTAAGTTCATTTATTAATTCTCTGCAATATTAAATATTGTTTGAGATTAAGGTTAAGTTACAGCTAACCCTAACCTGAAGCAATATTAGTGAACGCACACAGATGATGAATTGTGTTCCTTATGGTCACCGTAATCAACCAATAGATTGTGTTCCTTAGGGTCGCCATTTCAAATATTGCCAACAATTTGATACTCCATGACCAATTACAACTATCTAAACCCTATCCTTAACAAAACAGAGGTGAATCATGGACAGTTTGCCAGTTAATGATTAACTATGCGGAAGCAGCGGAGTTGTGGTTTTATAGATGAATTATGAGAATACTCTGGACAGACGAAAAGAATAATGAAGATAACTTGAAATAAAGTGACCTATGAAAAAAAGTGATCGCCCACAACAGAAGGAGACAATCTACATTCTTTCGTCTTGTTATGAGGAGAAAACTGGAGTATGTTGCGACGGTGGGAAAGCTGGAGGAGAACCAGCAGAGGAAGACCAAAAAAGAAGACACTGGACAGTCTGACATTATGGCACAGAAGACCATCTGTTTCAGAAATGAGTGAAAGTAGAGGAGACAAAAGACTGAAAAGACATGACTACCAACACCACACAACATGAAATTATAAGAAGATAAAGTTTTTTGTCGGCTCTGGGGCTAAGTCGATGCGAACGCTTCGTAATGCCGGGGTGCTGGGTTCGATCCCAGCTGAGGGCTATGCGCCTTGCGTTGGGTTCGACAGTGGTATCAGGGGGCTGACCGTCCAGAAAGCAATGGCAAACTACTGGACGTAATTTGCAAAGAGAAACCACATAACAGCCAGGGGCGGTTGGGGTTGGTTCTGCAACGTCCTGTAAAGGATACACAACTAACCTTAAAACAAAGTTATTTTTTTTCGTAGGGTAAAAATTCATATGGTTATTCATAGCCAAAAAGAGCAACCAAGAGGTTTTGAAAGAGACAGGAGCCCCAAGACAACTTATCACAGACATCAGACGAAGACAGTCATCATTTTTCGGCCATGTTATGAGAAAAGGAAAAATAGAACATGTTGTGACCACTGGAAAGATCTGTTGAAGGAGGGATAGAGATAGAGGAAGACAACGAGAGAAGATTCTTGACAGTCTTGCTGCATGGCACGGAGGTGTGTCGGCACACAAACTGATACATGCTGCAGGAGATCGCGGATTATGGAGAGGCTGATCGCCCACGCCAGTCGGCAAGGCACCTGATGATGATTCATATTTGTCAAAAATTTGATGACAACTGGCAAACCTGGTAGGGGAGAAAAGAGGGATGAATAACTGCATAACTTGGCCATACGGTATGGGTGACAAGAACACAGGCCTGATCCATGTTTGTAGTGATCAAGTGAGATGATGAGGCATTACACCCTAAGGTAATGAGCATGGCACATGTGGTGAGAGTAAATAAACAAACAAAAAAATAAACAGGAGATAAATAACAGATGTTTACCTCTTTGGCTTTCATCATTTTCTGGCCATTCTTGTACTCCGTTTTTAAACTTTTTAGTATCAGCCGACCTGCTTGTGGTTCCACTGATTTTCTTCATGTTGTGCACACTAGCATGGCCCCTACCCCTAATGTATGAAGCCTGATCTCGGTTCAATTCTGCATTGATTTCGTTACCTAAAAAACCCTCACTTCTGGAACTTTTTGATGATTTTCCTGCAATCATCTCTTCAACCTGAGAAACTAAATCTTTATGTGATTCATTATGTTTGTTCGCCGAATCCCTAGCTTTTCTGTAATCTACATGAGTTATATGTGATACTGGTAAATCGTCACCTTTCACAGCGCGTGAATCAAAAGCCTGGTTAATCAAAGTTTTGCTGTATCTATTGCTCTGACCCTGTTTGCCAGCTTTATGATTAGTTAGTGCAGTTGTTCCATTATTTGCGCCAACATCCTGCTGATCTAACCAAACTCTGTTATTCTTTTTTCTGTGAGGCTTTCCATCACCATCTCCCAATCGAAACTGATCCTGAACATCCTCCTCCCTGCCTCTTTGACCAGTATCAATATTTCCCCCTCTCCTATCGTAGTGATGATGATTATAATAATCATAATGTGGTGTGTCATAGTAGTAATCATCTCTGTCATAGTAACCGCCCTGATTATAATCTGAATATGAGTAATTATGTGTGTTCTTGTAGACTCGTCCTCGATCTTGAAACTTATTTTTGCCTCTTGCCCGATAAGGCTGATTGTACCTTCCTCTTTCGCTCCATGCCAGTTTCGGCGTCCACTGATTTTCTACAAAATTGTCAGCCGAAGATTCTCCTGCCAGACCAAATTCTGAATTACTAAACTGGTTGGGATGTACAGGCATTCCTGGCATATAAGCAAAGTTAGAAGAGCTGCTATATGTTGACTTTTTTAATTCAGCGCTTTCTGGATATGTGTTCTGTAAATATGGTTCAGTAAATCCATCTAATGGTATCGCAGGTGGAAAGTAATCACTGTTGGTGTATAAAAACTCTGTGGGGATTTCACCTGTGTCGACCGGTGGCGGTGGATATTGGCCGTAGAAAAATAACTGATGATTTTCTAAATCTGCTGCATTCATTCCTGGATGAAGAACTGGAATACTGGACGAAGAAGACATGTCAGGACTATATCCTTGCCAGCTCATAATGCCAATTTAACTCAACTGTAGAGGTCAATTACTGTCTTTTCTCCTTAATTCAAATAATCAATATGGAATAATATTTTTTTAAATAAATTTAAAATATTAAAGGTTGGAAATCTAAAATACTGTTTGCAGTCTAGCAGAATTCAAAGCCCCAAACTGAAAGTAGTTTAAGGCTCAGACTAAACAACTTTATTAAGTAGTAAAGGCCACTGTCTGTGAGGCAAAGTAAAAACTAGAAGAAAATATCAAAAAATGAAACTGAAAGAAAAATGTCGAACTTTGTCTAAGTGTCAAATAATCCTGCAGCGGTGTAGATGAATATAGCTGTTGCTACTGCTTGTTATGTTTGAAAATGACCACACATTATAAATAATGTACTTTATTATGAATAAAGATGGTTTGCGGTTCCTGGGTTGTTGAGTTGATAATTTGTTGTACACACAAACTGAACACGACAGTCCGACCCCACACTTGAGACAGAAGTCACTTATTTTACACACACGCTCTCCGCGTGCTTTACTTTTACTGTTTGATTCAGCTTATCAACTTCCTCAGCGTAAATGTCGATTTAGATACTGATTAAATTTAGTTCCAAAAGGTAAACTAAATAACCCTATATATAAATATCGACGGTACGGAGGAATGACACGACAGAAATGTGTCGGTAAGATCACACCTCATGACTTCTAAACAAACACAGTCGTTGTTGGCTGTTACAATCAATCCAACCACAACAACGACACACCTGGCAGCTGCTAATCACTTTTCAATCAATCATGCGTCCAAAAACTATCCCTTGTAAAAACACAATGTATATATTTAATAATATTTCAACTATAAATTATTATATATATATATATGTATGTGTATATATATATATATATATATATATATATATATATAATTTTTTTAATACAGTGGATACCATACTGGATACCATTCCATTCTAGAATATAGAGTAATTTTAACTATGAGCGTTAGTGAATTTGTTCATACAGTCTTAACTGCAATCACACCTGTTGACATCACAGTGGACGCCTGTCACTTCACATCATTATTATGATCATTTTTTTTTTTTTACACAACCAGTCAGCTTTGTAACATCTTTATAACAAACTGAGAAGTCATACTCATAAGATTGTCGTTTCTTAAACTTTGCCAAAAGACCTTATGATGCCTTATCACAAGGAAAGTATACTAGCATTTGATTTCACGTCTTGTGTTCTGTCGCCAAGTAACGGGAATAATCGTCTTTCAAGTTCTGAGTTTAAATATATGCGGGATTTAGACTTATAAAAATACTGAAGTCCTAAAGTCTGTATAACTTGGGTGTTGCGAACGCGATTCGTAGTGCCGAGTCCGGTACAGTAATTTTATGTCACCCCAAACAAAGGAATCCCTATGCCTGTCCACTATTCTAGGGAGGGGTGTCATGTGTTGGGTTGCTGTAAGCGTTTATGACATCATCATTCTTAGTGTGTACTCTGTGTGTGTGTATGTGTGTGTGTTTTCCTGATTATGTTATTTTAGGATAGTGGCGCTCGCTCTTCATGACTTCCCATGCATTTCCTTGACCTGTCAGCACTAGTGCATGACAAGCAGAGCAGTGTTGTCTTTGTGCAGCAACAGCATGCCACCTTGCAGTCGTCCAGACGTTGCTACAAGAATCATCTCGTGGTGCTGCCGCTGACTGACAGGCAGGAGCGGCAAGGGAGAGAAACCAGAGGCAGGCTGGGACGCACGTGCTTCTCCTAGAATCCTAACTGTGCTTGTTTCAGGGTTGCCAGATTGTAATGATGCTATAAATAGGGATAACGTCAGGGTATATATCCACATGAAATGACTAACCCGTTATTATTTCAGGAAGACAACTATAAGACCACTATGGTCACACGCGAAATAATTTCACATTTAGGAACTATCCAAAATCAAAAACTGTTTTCAGCACTTTCTGGCACAATAAATACTCAAAATTTTAAAACTGTAAATGGTGGAAACACTAAGTAAGACGAGGGAAGACATGCACAAGTAACAACAGGGTGGAAGACGCGGTCTAATTCGGATGGAAGCATCAAGCCCAGAAATGGCACAAACACTAGAATTCAGTCTCGAAAGTGACGCAAATAACCCAGACCACAAACATAGGCGGAGACTCGGCTAGCTAGCAGCAGTCAGAACGTGGTCGAGCTTTTCATTTTTTTTTTTTTTTTCGAAAGGAATTGGAATTGGGTATGACTGACAGAATTGGGTAAGTCCCTGATAGCATGGGTTTCACGGAGATATGGTGAAAAGACAGGAGTGAGAAAGTCACGTGTGAATGCAAGATCTGGGGGATTGAGAATGAAGTGGTCGTTCGATGACTGGGCCCCAGATTGGAAGGACGTGAAGCTGAATCCAGAGTGAGAAGTGCACACGTTGATCTGGATTAGAGTCGAATGAATGTTAGTTCTAAACGACAAGACATGCAGCGGTGTTGAATGATCGTTTAGGCCAGCAGTTG